CACAAAAAAGTCTATTTTCTGAAAAATTTAGGGGGGTAGAAAACGACGAGATAATTTTTTTCCTACTCTAGATATGTCTATCAGTAATAAAAAAAATATAAACAATCATAATTGTTTATAATAATGTACAGCAGTTGAGATTTTTTTTCTGAAAAATTCTAATTTCACAAAAAAGTGTAATTACTGAAAAATTGAGGGTGGTAGAAATCAACGAGACAATTTTTTTCTTACCCTATATATTTCCTTGAGTAAGAAAAAAATTGTATAGTCGTTTTCTACCCCCCTAAATTTTTCAGAAAATAGACTCTTTTGTGAAATTAGAATTTTTCAGAAAAAAAATCTCAACTGCTGTACATTATTATAAACAATTAGGATTGTTTATATTTTTTTTATTACTGATAGACATATCTAGAGTAAGAAAAAAATTATCTTCTCGTTTTCTACCCGCCTAAATTTTTCAGAAATTAGACTTTTCTGTGAATGTAGAATTTTTTAGAAAAAAAATCTCAACTGTTGTACATTATAATGAACAATTAGGATTGTTTATAATTGTTTATTATTTTTTTTTACTCAGGGATATACCCTGTGTAATTTTCAAAAGGTTTGTCGTATGTTTATTGTACTTTTTTAGCTATTTTAAGTGGAGGGGCAAATGCTTGAAATATGAGCGGTGGACGCCTATGGGTGGCTGCTGGTTGCGACTGCTAGTTTCAGCGCGCTAATTATCTAGATAAATATCAAAATTCTTCTCAGAAATTCTATTGTTTTCAAGGATTTTATTAAAATTCTTTGCAAAATTCAATTATTTTCATAAATAACAATATTAATCACGAAAATAAAATTATTTTCAAGAGTTAGAAAATTCTTTTCAGAAATTCAATTATTTTCAAAAATTAAAAAAAAAATTCTCGTCATGATTTCAATTATCTTTATAAATAGCAAAAATCTTCGCTGAAATTCAATTAATTAAAAATTTTTTAATAAAATTCTGCGCAAACAAATTGTTTTTATAAATAATAAAAATTTCCCAGTATTTCAATTATTTACAAATTTTTTCGCAATAATTCAATTATTTTTATAAATAATAATACTGTTCTCAGTAATTTAATTGTTTTCATAAATAATAAAACTCATTGCAAGATTTTAATTATTTTTGATACAATTTTAATCAAATTCCTTGAAAAATGTGATTATTCTTAAAAATTTCATTAAAATTCGTCAAAAGAATTCAATATTATTTAAAAATTTGTTGGTAAAATTCTTTATTTTGAAAAATTTTAGGATAATCTAAATTATTATAAAACATAACAATTTTCTATACCTAAGTTGTTTAATTTTAAAAAGGTTTGAATTTAAAATTTTTGAAAATCTTCATTTCTATGGAAAAATATTAATGATTAAATATTTATTTAAAAAAGAAGTTATTGATGTTTTCGAATAATTTTACAATTTAAGTTTTGAAATAAATGTAATAAAAAATATTTTTGATTATCTAATAATTTTCAGAGTGAATTAGAATATTCTTTAGGTTAAGGGAAAAAGTGAAAATTTTGTGTCTGGAAATCAGGGAAAAGTTAGGGAAAAACAAAATTAAATTTTTGTGGCTACTCTGTCAGTACAATTAATATTTCTAAACTTTGAATTCTATATATGGTCAGTTTTGTCAGAATCAATTTCTAAAAGTAAAAAAACATTTTGCGACAAGGTTCACAGACACGAAAAATGATTTCCGTTCGGTTAATTTATAAATAATTGTACAGTAAATACACTTTGAAGGAAATATAAAAAAAACAAGACAGCAGAGTAATTTAGCTTTAAAATATTCAACCGCTGGTTGTAAAAGCTGTTACTTTCGCACAATAAATTCCTTTGTATTAGGCCCACGTCCGGCCACTGACATTGAGATGCAAAAAGCGGAATTGCCTATAAAGAAGTGAAAAAGACTATTTTTTGTTTGTAACTTTTACATCACTATGTTGGAAACATAAACAGCACTCTCTCTTTTTTCTTGTCGCTTATTTATTTACGTGATCGTTTTGGTCGGAAGGAAATTGTAAAGAGTTAAACTGGAATGTCGTGTGATATGACTCATGCACCTGGCTAGGCTGACCGTGCCCAGTCAAGAAAATCATCTTGCACTTTTTATGAGATTGCCAACTGTTACGTGCTCTGCATGCAACATTCAATCGATGATGCATGAAGACAATAGAGGATTGACCTTAATTCGAAAACACTTTTTTTTTTTTTGACAAATTTTTACTTTTTTCTTGCGCGGAGTGCCAAATTGAAAATATTTAATTAGGAGTCATTTTAATTACGCGATTTGTACCCATATTATATCTCGCTTATTCGATAATTCAATTATAACTTTTCTCGCTTCGAGTTATTGCACCATTACAATTTTCATCTCCTCCACTTTTGACTAATTAAATTAGTATCTCTGCCATTTGCTGAATACCATTAATCTAAAAAAAAATTATTTTCAATTGTATGTTTCATTTTTAAATTTTATTAACGTCTGTGTCAGTGAAAAATAACTTAATTCTATTGAAGAACTGCCATAAAGTTATTACTTATAAATCATTTTATAAAGTATATATTTTGAAAAATTTTAATTTCTGTTGAAATTAGTTTCAATTTTTAAGATTTTAACGCAATTCTTTAAAGGAATTCAACTGTCTTAATAAATATTAAAATTCTTTCCAGAAATTCAAATATTTTCAAAAATTAAAACAAAATTTTTGTCAACATTTTAATTATCTTTATAAATAGCAAAATTCTTCGTCGAAATTCAATTATGTTAAGGAATTTTTATAAAATTCATTGCAAAATTCAATAATTTTTAAAACTGAAAAAATTCTTCGCAGAAATTCAATTATTATCAAAAAAATCGAAAAAAAATTGTCAACATTTCAATTATCTTTAAAAATGAATAGCAAAATTCTTCGACAAAATTCAATTATGTTAAAAATTTAAAAATAAATTCTCGTCAAAATCCCAATTATCTTTGTAAATAACAAAATTTTCCCAAAGTTCAATTATTTTAAAAAATGACAATAAAATTTTTGTCCTAATTTCAACTATTTTCAAAATCTACTATTTTAATAAAATTTTCCGAGAAAAATTCAATTATTTAAAAAAAAAATTAATAAAATCGTAGACAAACATTTAATTATTGTCAAAAATAATAAAAATTCCACAGGAATTCAATTATTTTTAAAAGAAATAATTATACCAAAATACTTTTATAAGTTGTTTAAGTTCAAAAATGTTTGAATTTGGAATTTTTGAATGTGAAGGAACCCGAACATTTTTTTTTAGTAAAATTTTTTCCTTTATTTTCTAAAAATTCAAAAATTTTCGTTTTCAATGAAAATTTGTAATTGACAAATAGAATTTTTAAACATTTGTTTCGTTTATTGTTAAAAAAACTTTGAATTTTATTAAAACAATAATTGTAATTTAAAAATTGAAATAATGTAAATTATTCCCTTATGAAAATTGAAAATTTTCTACAAAAATATTAAGAAACGAGAATATATGTAATGTTTTTTCCCCAAAATAAAAGAATGAGTTTGTATACAATATTGTTATTGAAAAAAAAAATTATGCATAAAAAAAATTTTGATAATATTTTACACGAACTTAGATTCAATTACTTTCCAAAAAAATTTAAAAATTCACTGGAATTGCATTATTTAAAAAAAAATTTGCATAAATGTTTTCGTAAAAATCAAAAGCTTTAAAATTTGGCATTAAATTCTTTGGAGTTATTCAATTATTTTCATAATTTTTAAAAATTCCTTTCAGGGATTTAATTATTTTCATAAATAATTAAATCATGCGGAGAAAGTCAACTATTTTCATAAATAACAATATTCATCACAAGAATTCAATTATTTTCAAAAATTTTAATAAAATTCATTTCCAAATTTCATATTTATTTTCTAAAAGTTTCCAAAAGAATAAAATTATTTAAGAACAATTTCGACAAAATTCTACACGAATATTCAATTATTTTCTAAAATAATGAAATTTTCACAGTAATTCAATTATTAAAAATAGGATTTGCATAAATTTTTTCGAGAAATATCAATTGTTTGAAACTTTTTTTTTTAAATTCTTCGCAATAATTCAATTATTTTCATGAATAATAAAACTCATCGCAGAATTTCAATTATTTGAAAAATATCAAAGAACTTTTTTGAAAATAATAATAAAAAATAATTGATTTTAATAATGTAGAATTTTAGTTAAAAATTGTAGAAAATAATAATTAAATTGAAATATTCATTATAAGTTATTGAATTTCAAAAGGTTTGAATTTAAAATTTTAAAAATCTTATTTCCCATGGAAAATTAATAATGATTAAATATTTATTTAAAAATTAAGATATTTTTTATAATTTAAAAAAACGAAAAATAACTACTTACCTACAGTGTTTATAATTTCGAAAAGAATAAGTTTTCAATTGTAAAAATTATCTGGTTATATATTAAAATTTACAGGAAAAAAATATAAAATATTCAACCATCGCCCGCGTGCTACCTAATAACACAAATTTCAAAATAAAATGACAATGCTTAGATAATGTGAATATTTTTTTTCTTTAATTTAACGTTCATATTATTTTGTATTACATTCATTACGCCTTAGCAGACAAACACGTTGAGAATTTTAATCATATTGTGATTCATTCATTGAATCGCAAATGCAAATAATTACACTTGCTTTATAATGTGAATTAACGAGTGACAAGTGTTTTATTTATTTACGAGGATATTTTTATTTTTTAATGAATTTTTCTCTTCTTTTTCTAGCGTTAAAATTGAAAAATAATAATCGTCTCCTTGTGAAATTATTCTTTTTTTATCTGATATATTTATATATATATATTTGACATCTTGAAATGTATCGTTGAGTTATTATTTATGATTTTACAGCTATTTTCAGTCATTGTTTATCGGAATTATTGTTGATAACATTGTTTCTGTTTCAGGAAAGACCTTCTGTCAGTCTTGCAAGAAGAAATGCAGCGGGGAAGTGTTACGTGTACAAGATAAATACTTTCACATCGCGTGCTTCAAATGTGCGCAATGCAATTCGAGTCTCGCGCAGGGTGGATTTTTTGCAAGAGAAGGTTCCTATTATTGCACCAAGGTACTAAATTGCTTTTAAATTGCGTGTTGAATTGTTAAAACGAAGCTATTTCTTCAAAAAAAAATATTTTCTAACATTTAAGATAAAGATAAAAAATCGAATAATTTTTGGTTTTTTAAAATTGGTTTAGTAGATTTCGAGAAAAGTGTCTCCCCGTTTTCAAAAAAGTGTTTTCAAGAAAAACGCGTTTAAAGTTTTCGAAGCGTTTTACATTCTATTTATAAAAGTTGCTATAACTTTTTTTTTGCATATTTCTTCAAAAATGTTTTCGGACAGTAATTTTATGAATATTGTAAAGCAAAGAAAGAAAAATCGAATTTTTTACAATCCTTGACCAGAAAGTCCCCTTAAACTTTCTTTTATTTAAAAAAAATTAATTCTTAATTACGCAAATATTTCATTCCCATCATTTTTCTTTTTTGTATAGTAATTTTTAAAAATGTTTAAATAGAAAAAAATGACACTAAAAACTACTTTTTTATGTTTGAGACTTTGCACTACTTTAACTCCTCTAATGGCTAAAATAAGAAAATTCTCAAAAAATTTTATAAAACTCCTTCAAACGATTTAATTATTGTCAAAAATTTTCGAAATTCAATTATTTTAAATATCTACTATTTTAGTAAAAAAATTACTAAAGGAATTCAATTATTTAAAATAAATCTAACAAAACTCTTCGCAAACATGAAATTATTTTTACAATTAACACAATTTTAACGAGAATTCAATTATTTACGAAAGTTTTTATTTATGTAATTCTTGGCAAAAATTCAATTATTTTCACAAAGTGTAAAATTTTTTCAGGAGAATTCAAATAATTTGTAATTTTGAATAACAATTTAATGACAATTTGTAATAAAATTCTTCGCAATAATTCAATTATTTTTATAAATAATAAAAAAACACTTCTCAAAACTTCAATAATTTTCGAAATTTTTAATAAAATTCTTTGCAAGAATTCAATTATTTTTATTAATAAAAAAACTCATTACAATATTTCAATTATTTTTAATACGATTTTCAATAAATTTCTCGAATAATGCAAATATTTCTAAACATTTTATTAAAATTCTTCAAAAGAATTGAATTACTTTAAAAAATTTCAATTAAACTCTTTTTGAGAATTAAATTATTATCAATACAATTTAAATTCAATTCAAAAGAATTTAATTTTTTTCAACATAATATAATTTTCGTCGAAATTCACTTATTTTCGAAAATTTCGATAAATTTCTGGCCAAGGATTCAATTATCTTCATGAATAGTAAAATTCTTTCTAGAAATTCAATTATTTTTAAAAATTTTATTAAAATTTTTAGTAAAGATTCAATCACTTTTATAAATAACAAAATTTTTCGCAGGAATTTCAATATTTTTAATACAAATTTTATAAAATTTGTTTACAAGATTTAATTCATTTCTAAAATTTTAATGAAATTCTTCGAAAGAATTCAATTATTTTTTAATACAATTTAAATTAAATTAAATTAAAATTCTTTAAAAATATTTAATAGCAATTAATTTTTTAATAAATAAAAAAATTCTTTGCAAGAATTGAATTATTTTCCTTAATAATAAAACTCATTGCAAGATTTCAATTATTTTAAACACAATTTTAAATGAATTTCTCGAAAAATGCAATTATTCTTAAATATTTTATTAAAATTCTGCGAAACAATTTAATCATGTTAAAAAAATTTGATTGAACTCTTTGTAATGATCCGATTTTCAAAAATATTCAATTATTCAATGAATTATTTACTTTTTGTGTTAAAATAATTGAATTCTCGTAGATGTTTCGAATAAGAATTGGTTTAAAATTGAATTTCAGTTAAAATTTTACAAAATAATTAAATATTAAAAGCGTTATAGTGTGAATTTTTCGAAATAATTAAATTTCAAAAGATTTTTAAATTGAAATCTTTAAACTTTTTTAATTGTTTCAAAACTGTAATAATATTTTGGAAGATTATTAATTTACTATTTTTTATAAGAATTTATTGTGAATAATTTTATATTTCAAAAATTTCAACCAAAAATATGATTGAATTTTGTAAGAATTGCAGTTGTAATTTTTAGAAACAATTAAAATTTATTTGTTTTACTTTTAAAAAATATTTTTAAATCGTATTGTTGAAGAATTTAAAATTATTATTTAGAAAATAATTCCATTTTGCAAAAATTTAGAATTGAAGTTATCAGCAGGATAAAAAAATTATAAATATTTTTTATGAAAAGTAGGAGAAAGTCAGGAAAATGAAATAAGAAATCAAATTTTTGTGAATCATCTAAAACGATTTTATATTTTATTTTATAAATTTAATTTTTCGATAGTTACTTGTTACTGCTTTTTCTCAGTCTTAATGCAACTTTTTGCTGAGCTTTAAAATTAATTTTCCAGTGCAAAGCCTGTGTTAATAATTTATAAATGCTCGAGTAATGAAATTGAAATAGTTGATAATACTACAACAGTGATAAAAGTGATACATAGTAATAAAAATAAATTATTTATTAATAGCATAATGGGTCATAAATATTGCAACAGGGAATTGACGCTAAAAATAACTGAAATTATTTTCCCTTTCAGGATTATCGCGAGAAATGGGGTACGAAGTGTGCAGGCTGCGGGGAATACGTTGAAGGCGATGTAGTCACTGCAGGAGAAAAACATTCGTTTCATCCAAATTGTTTTCACTGTCAGAGATGCAGGAAGCCTCTTTTAGGACAAGGAACTAAAGTAACTTTAGTTCAAGGTGAGATGAACGAGAATAAATTTTTGTTTTATAGTTATTTTTCGTCTCGAAAGAGAAAGAAAAGGAGAGAAGAAGAAAAAGAAAAAGTATAGTTTGAATTTTTTTAAGATCTATTTTTTAATTTTGATTGTCATTAATTGGATGACAATCTAAATTTGTTGTCACTTTAGATTCAAGTGGAAAAAAATGTGTGACAATGAAAATTGAATTGAAGGAAGTAATATTATAGATGGCATTGAATTTGATTGTTTAGAAATTTGATACTAATCGATACGTAATTATCGTGCAGGGGGTGATTAAATTTTGTTGATTTTTGTTTGTAGGACAAGCTCTGTGTCATCGATGCGTTAGTATTCCAATACGTGAAGCATCAACTCCAGTAGGTAATTCGCAGGCTACAGGTAATGGATCTAATGATCCTGGGGCATGCGCTGGTTGCAGGCAACAATTACGAGAAGGTCAGGCCTTGGTTGCGCTTGACCGACAATGGCACGTCTGGTGCTTCAAATGTCACAGCTGCGATACCGTTCTTCACGGGGAATACATGGGAAAGTAAGTTTCAACCCTCCATCAACGTCTTATCAAACACATTCCTCTTCATTTTTCCTCCTCACATTTCAATTTTCCTGTCTGCTAATTCTCACTTTATGTACGGAAAAGATAAAATAACTTTTACTATACTCACAAAATAAAATCTTTACTGTTTGAAAATTTTTATAAACTTTGACTATTTCCGGAGAGTGAATTTTAATCAATCCAAAGTTAAATTTAGTATTAAAATTTGATAAAGTTTCCACAATAATTAATAATAATTTATTTTCATTCTATTTCTTACAAGGATTTTTCAATATTTTGTTAAATCTATTATAGTTGAATTCTCCATCTTCTAGCTAAAATGCTTGATTGCTAAAATGGATATTTTTTCATCCTTAGTAAAAAGTGATAAAAATCCCAGACCGTTCAGGTTTTTCTTTGGAAATAGTAAACTTACTTTATATTTTTTTCAATTTACTCAAGTTTTTCCTCTTTGGAATGTTTCTCCATTTAAGACAAATATTACCCTATTTTATAAAGTTTATTTAAAAAAAAAGTCTTCAATTTGGAAAATGTTTTCCAAGTTTGTCCACTTTCTTTTTGTCAATTATATCAAAAAATTGCGTTATTTTAAAATTACAGACCTCGGATAGTGTTACTTTTTTTTGACTTTTCTTTCAAATATTGCAACAAAATTGATTTTATAAAGTGTTTCATTTAAATGTTGTAAAATCAAATTTTGAAGAATTTTAATTGCAAATTTTGAAAATAATTGAATTCTCAAAATTTTTAATGAAACATCTTTAAATGAAAAGTTTTAAATTTTAGAGAAATTTTATTAAAAGTGTATTGGGAAGTAATCGTTACAAACGATTACGAAAATAATTTTTAAAACAGTAATTCTTAGAATTTTTTTATTCTAATTTTTTAAAATTCAATTATATTTAATATTTTCCAATATATTGTCAAAAATTATCTGTTAAGAAAGTTAATTACTTTCAAAATAATACATTACAATATTTTTAAGAAATAAATTTTTAGAATTTTTTTATCATATTTCTTAAAAATTCAATTCCTTTCAAAAAAAGTAAATTATAATTTTTAAAAAATCTACTGTTTTAGATTCATCATTACAATTTCAGAGATTTTCATATTTGCTGTTAAAATTCTTAAAAACATGATTTTTCTTAATATTTTCCATAAATTCGTTTTAATAATTCAATTATTTCCATAAAATTTAGATAAATATCAATTATTTGGATTTTTTTTACTTAAATATAATTTAGAAATCTATTATCTTTCAAAACTTATTTTTATATATTTTAAAAAAATTAATTTTAAGAATTTTTTTTATTTTAATTTTTTAAACACCAACAATTTTTAAACTGTTTCAATATTTCTGGTTATATATTTTTAATAATTCACTTTAACAACTTCAAGAAAAAACCATGAAGAGTTGCAGTTACAATTATTATAAAAAATTGAATTTTTGTATTTAAATAATTGAATTTCTTGAGGAAATTTGAAAAAATTGTTAAAAATAATAATTATAGTAAAAATCTATTTGAGTAAGAGTTTCAGAAACGTGCCACCCAAAGCTTGAAAATTGTTATTTTTTTCTAAATGTTAATTTTCATGTAGCATTTTATATGAAAAATTGCTATGTAAAAGGATTTTGCAAAACAAAATTTTTTGCTCGTGTTATTATTAACAATTAAATAATTTTACTACTTTAAAAAAAAAAAAATTTAAGAAAAAATTGTTGACCGATTTCAATTTTATCCATGAAATTTCAAGTAAAAAAAAATTCTACTTATTTTTTAAACCTTTATGAATATTATTCCGAAGAGAGGAGAAATAGCACGCATTGAGAAGTAGATAAAATAAAAATTTTTTGATTACCGCGTATGAAATAATTCACACTTAATACATTTATTCGCATTCGCCAAGAAAAATTAGACTTTTTTTCAACTGTAAATTTCGTAGGTAAAGAGGTTTTTTTACATATTTTTTTTTTATAAATAAACAACTTTTTTGTTTATTAAAATTCAATATTTTTCAACAAAAAAATTTTCTTTTAAAATTAAAATCGGCCAATAATTTTTTCTAAAATTTATTTTTTAAATAAAAGTATTAAAAATATTCAATTGTTAATAATACGAGCAAAAAAAAAAAATACTTTTTTTTGTCGAAATCCTTTTACATGGTGATTTTTTATATAAAATGCTACATGAAAATTAACATTTAAAAAAATAATAATTTTCAAGTTTTTGGTGGCGTATTCATTTAATAAAAATTAATTAATTATTTATTAAATTTATTTGTCAAAAATAATTGATTTAGAGGAGAAGTTTAATTCTAGAATATAATGAACAAAATTTTAAAAAGGGTTATAGATGTAATTATTAGGAACAATTAAATTACAGAAGGTTAAAAATTGAAATTAAAGAAATTTCAATCCCTGTGAGAAAAAAGGAGTATTTAAATATTTATTTAACAAAATTATTGCAGTCTTGAATAATTGTATTTAGAAGTCAGTAGTAGGTCAGGGAAATATAAAACGAAATTTTTTGTGAGAATACTAAATAAAATAAATGACCTTCTGAATCTCTTTTTTATATCTTTAATCGACTAAAACGACTTTTCTGGCGCCTTAAAGTCGATCCGAGACCAGAAATTGAGATAAGAAAGTAATCGAATAAGAAGTTCGGAAAATGATAATGAATAATATACCCACCTATGCTAATTAATTAAATTAAATATTTGATTATTGAGTAGAGTTAAATCCTTCCATAATTTAGTTGATATTATTAAATAAATGATCATAGGAAGGTGGAAAATTGAATAAAAAATGCAATGTTATATTATTTTATTAACGACAAAATTGAATAAATTAATTACTAAATTTGTTAAAAAATATACTTTAATTGATAAATTTATGAATTTAATTACAAAAATGAAATGAATTTTCAGAGATGGGGTGCCTTATTGTGAGAAAGACTATCAAAAGCAATTTGGCGTGAAGTGTGCCTATTGCAATCGTTATATTAGTGGAAAGGTACTTCAGGCTGGTGAGAATCATCATTTTCATCCAACATGCGCGAGATGTACGAAATGCGGCGATCCTTTCGGCGACGGAGAAGAAATGTACCTTCAAGGTGCTGCAATCTGGCATCCACGCTGCGGTCCCGGTCCCACCGGTTCCAATGGAATTGTCAATGGTCATGGCGAACCTCACACACCACAGCACAGAGAATCCGAGCGTATTTCTAGCAGTGCTTCGGAAATGCAGGTAAGAAATACCACGAAGGTCAGTTTATTTATTGTAAGTCACGTTTTTTTTTCTTTTTTTTTCAACAGAATTTCTAAACGTGCTTCTTTATGTCATATTATTATTATTATTTTTTAAGAAGTCAATCACCTTCTCAAGAAATACCCTTTTCAATATTGAATGGCAATTCCTTTTATTTAAAAAAAATGGATTAATTTATTTACATAGTTCTTGAAATAAGATCAAAAACGCTTTTTCCAATTTTTAATATATGTTGAGAATTTTTATATCTGGTAATTTTATTATTCCTATATTTTTTAATGTCAACATGTTTTAAAATTGTGAATTATTTTTTGAAAATTAGGTTTTTAATTATCAGATTCTAGATTTCAATTATTTAAATATTCAAATATTAAGTAAAAATTAATTAGAAAATCAATTTTAATCTCAGCTAAATATAAAAAATTTTTTGAAATTGGAATATCTTTTTGAGAAAATATATAAACCTAATAAATTTTTATGAAGTAATTTAATTGTGTAATTTATGGGGAGATTCCACTGACTTTTAAGTTTTTTTCAGAGATTTTTTTTCATGTTAAAAAAATATCTATTACTAACATTTTTTTATAATAAATCATAAGCATTAAAGTAAGCGAAAAAAATTGTTTTTCAAAATGAAGTCTCAGAAAGTAGTTGCCGAAAGTGGTCCTCTTTAAAAGTTTGTTCTCAATTTTTCTCTGCAACGATTAATCAAAAACGAAAAAATTAAAAAGTTTCTTAATCTGTACCGTTTTGGCTATCGTTTTGGCTAGAATCAAAAATATTTATTTAGAAAAAACCGAATGACTGACTTTTTAATTTTTCGACCATAATTTTGCAACTTAAATTGTTCATAGCTTTTTTCAATATTACTGGATTTTTAAAATCCTAAACGACTTTGAAATCACCACGAATTCTTATACAAAACCTTCAATTTTTTATCTTTCTGATAACAAATTTCTTTTGAAATAAATTAATTCTTGTAGAACTATCATAAAATTATTACTTATAAAGTATTTACTCAATAATTTTACTTAAACATTTTAAAATTAATTGAATTTTAAAACAGTTGTGTTTACAATTTTTCTAAGTTAATTATTTACAAAAGGTTTCAATTTTAAATTTTAGAAAATTTGAATTTTGGATAAATTTAATTAGAAATTTTAAAGAATTTGGATCTTTAACAAATTTTAATAATTTAAATTCTACTGAAATTAGTTCAATTTTTTAGTATATATATTTAATTAAATATTCAAAATAATAGATTTATAGAAAAAAAATTGAATTTTGGAGAAGTTACAAATGATTGCAGAAATTCAATTATTTTCAAATGTAATAAAATTCTTCGCAAAAATTCAATTATGTTAAAAAATTTTTTAAAAGTCTCGTCAAAATTTCAATTATCTTTATATAAATAATAAAAGTCCTTCTCAAAATTCAATTATTTTCAAAAAATTATTATAAAATTCTTGGCAAAATTTCAATTATTTTCAAAAATTTTCCTTAATTCAATGATTTTCAATTTCTACTATTTTAATAAAATTTACCAAAAGAATTCAATTTTTCAATAAATTATTTATTTTTGTATTTAAGTGATTGAATTCTCGTAGAAATTTCTAATAGAAATTGATTTAAAAATATATTTCAGTTAAGGTTTTAGATATTAATTGAATATTAGAAGCATTATAGGGTGAATTTTTAGAAATAATTGAATTTTGAAGAGGTTTCAAGTTAAAATCTTTAAAAATCTGAATTTTTCATATTTTTAATTAACAATTCTATAGAACTAATTTTTTTTGAAAAATTTTAATTCCAATTCTGTTGAAATTAGTTTAAAATGTTAATATAGTATATTTAATTATTTAATTACAATTACTAAATATAATTGATTTAGAGAAGAATTTTAGTTCAAAACTAAAAAAGAATAATTGAATTTCGGAGATGTTACAAATTACAGCAATCTTTAGAAGTAATTTTATTTTTATTTTATTTATTTTTATTTATTTTTATTTATTTTTATTTATTTTTTTTATTTTATTTTTTTAGTTTTTATTTATTTATTTATTTTTTTTATTATTTTTTTATTTTTTTATCTTTGAAAATCTTAATTTTTCATATTCTTAACTAACAATTCTGTAGAATTAATTTATTTATAAATTGAACTGAATTTTTTTTCAAATTATTCAAAGTTTTTGTTTTCTATATTTGATTGAAGAATTGAAAATTGAAGAATTTTAAAAAATTGAAATTTCGTAATAATCGAAAATTCGTAAAATTGAATTGTTAATAATGTAAATAAATGTAATAGAATATTTTGTTGTGTATCTTATCATTTTGAGAGTGAATCAGAATATTAAAAAAAGTCCATATTTTTAAATACTTTTGCTGGTGCGAGCCCTTTAAAAAAAATGTGTGACAAAAGTTTTAGAGAGGACCGAGGCAGACATTTTCATTTTGAAAAAAAAATATTTTTCGATTACTTTAAGACATGTATTTTATTATAAAAAAATTTTTAGTAATAAATATTTTTTTTTTGCTATTAAAAAAACATCTCTGAAGAAAACCTCAAAGACAGTGTAATCTCTCCGTAAATTCTTATAATTTTTTTACTTTCCAATTAGCTTGAAAGATTAATCATATAGGTGATAAGTCAAATACTAAATAAAATTGTCGCGTTTAGTAAAATATTGAATATTACTAAAACATGTCAGAAGAAAAAAAGTCTCGATTTCTTAAGTCGCTAGAAAATCCCGAATTTGAAATATAAGCTTATCAGCTTCATTTTAATTACTTTTGTAGAATATTGCAATCGCGATTTAAAAAAAACTACATATATGTAAGTGTGTGTAAATAAAAATAAAAGTGTGTGCACTTTTATCAAAATCAGTAATTGGCTTCTCGAATCGATGCAATGACGATTTATTTATATTGTCAAAGTGCCAAGCTGTAAAATAAAAGCCTCAATTCAAATATTTATAATATGAATTTTTCGAAACGCGTCTTTTCAAAATTCACAATTTGAATCAATAAGTGCACGTTACTGTTTTTTTATTTGATTTTCATACATGTATTTTTCAGTATTTTTCCTTTTTTTTCACCCGGTTTATTTTTGAATATACATATCTTTAATTTTTATACGTATATAATATGTTTTCCAAGTATTTTTGAGTGTATTCTTTTCTCAAGTATTTCGATTTTTTGTGTACAATCTTCACCTAAGGGTAATTTTAATTGTTTTATATGCATAGAGGAGAGTGTATAGCACGCTTTTTACGAGAGATTTTTCACAATTGAAGAGTTGGTAATATTTTGTTAGAAAAAGTAAAATTTCCTTCTTTCTTTATTCAAGTTTGAAAACGAAGTTTTTAAAAGTTTAAAAAATAGTTTCTGTAATTTTTCGGTTTTATAGAAAATTAAAATTGATAGTTTTTGAAAAAATGTTTGTATCTATATTTGAATTTGCTCTTCAATTGCGTTACATAAGAGTTTATTCTTTTTTTTGTTGATATATTATATTTGATTTAATTTATGTTATTTATTGCTTTGTTAATTTATTCGTTTATTTTTCGCATGATCATTGTGTATAGTTTTCATTGAGGTCACGCACGCCAAGCCTGAATGGATCTCTGTGCAGCCCTTACAGCAGCCTCAGTCGCAAGGTATGCCATTGTGCCTATTTTTTATTTAAGCAAAAACTTGGAAAAAAATATATGATCACCAGTTCACACTGCTTTTCTTTGCGTTCTTGGTTACAAAGTTTTGTCGATTTATATATATATAGAAAGAGAGCGCGCTCGTTTGCTTTTTAGTTTTCATTTTGCGCAGCCTAGTCTTTGAACTAGTATTTGAAAAGAAAATAGTAGTAGTTTTTCAATATAATTGTTTTTTTATTATTATTGCATTTAGGGAATTCTTCTAAGCGGAGGGTAAATTTTGAATGTTTTTTTGTTAATTGCATTAATTCCCTCAGTACTATCCAGCGAGAACCGGAAGTCCTGGCTTGATTCTACGAGAATATGGACGCGGTGGTCCCGAAGATGTTTCTAGGATTTATACGTACTCGTACTTGACTGAAACTCCTAGTCAAGGATATTTGAGACGTCCAATTCAACCGTATGATAAACCTCCCACGAGTCCTCATTTTCACAGACCAAGCTGTAAGTATTTTTAATATTTATTAAATTATCAACAAACTTCAGACAGTTTTTGAATATGATTTTGCAAAAGATGAATCTATTCGAAAAAACTAATTTCTTTCTATGAAATCTGAGTTATTTTTTGTTTGTTTTTGTATCTAAACAACGTTACCACAGGTCAGGGAAAACAGGAAAAAGTCAGGGATTTTTATTAAAAGTACTGGAAAAAATTAAATTTTTAGAATTTATAAGAAAATTCTGAATTTTTATGTCTTTTTGTTTGCCTCATAAACTATGAAATTACCACGAATTCAATTTTTTTTTCTGTTTCTGACAATAATTTCTTTTTAAATAAATTTATTTTTCAAGAATGATCATAAAATTCTTATTTAGAAATTATTTAGTGAATAATTTTACTTCAATACTTAAAAATTAATTGAATTTTAAAAGAGTTGCGTTTAAAATATTCATAAATAGATGAATTTAAAAAGGTTTCAAATTCAAATCTTTGAAATTTGAATCTTTAATACTTTTAATCAACAATTCTAAAGAATTAATTTTTTTTGGAAAATTTTAAATTTAATTTAGTTTAAATTAGTTTAAATTCTATATTTAACTATTTTTAAAATTTAATAACGCAATTCTTCGAAAAAATTCAATTATATTCATAAATAACAGAAATTGATCCAAAAATTCAATTATTTTTAGAAATTTTAATAAATAAATTCTTTGCAAAATTCAATTATTTTTGCAAATAACAATTTTCTTCAAAAGAATTAAATTATTTTTAAAAGTAATAACATTCTTAAGAGAAATTCAATTATTTTAAAAAATTTGAAATAAATTTCTTGGCAAAATTTTAATTATTTGCAAACTTTTTCGAATTCAATGATTTTCAATATTTATCCTACTATTTTCATAAAAATTTTTCAAAAGAATTAGATTAGTTAAAGAAAACTTTAATTAAATTTAAAATTAATTAATAATTATAAAATATTAATAACATAACATTAATTATTTTCATAATTGATAAAATTTTCACAGGAATTAAATTATTTAAAACACAATTTTCATAAAATTTTCCAAAAATAGTGAATTATTTGGAAAAATCTAAATAAAATTCTGTACAAGAATTCAATTATTTTCATAAATAATAAAATTTTTTCACTGGAATTCAATTATTTAACAAATTTTAATAAAATTCTGAACAAGAATTCAATTATTTTCATAAATATTAAAATTCTTCTCAGGAATTCAATTATTTTCATAAATTATAAAATTCTCATTAGGAATTTAATTATTTTCATAATTCATAAAACTCATCGCGAATTTCAATTACTTTTAATACAATTTTAAATAATTTCCTCAAAAAATGCTACTATTCTTAATTAATTTTATTAAGATTCGTCGAAAGAATTATTTTAGAAACTTGTGATAAAATTCTTTATAAGAATTCAATTTAAAGAAATATTCAATTATTTAATAAATTTTTTATTTTTGTATTTAAATAATTGAATTCTCCTTGAACTTTGAAATAAAAATTTATTTAAAAATTAAATTTAGTTAAATTTTGTATGATAATTGGATATTAAAAGCATTATAGCATGAATTTTTAGAAATAATTGAATTTTGGAAATGTTTCAAATTCAAGTCTTTGAAAATATAAATATTTTGTATTTTTAATAAACAATTTTGTAGAATTAATTTTTTTGAAAATTTTTAATTCCAATTTTTTTGAAATTATTTGAAGTTTTTATATTCTAATATATATTTAATTGGAGAATTTTCGAATAATCGAAATTGTGCGTAAAATTGAATTGTAAACAAATGGGTTTGAAAATTTTCAAAGGAGTTTTTCAAAAATTAAAAAAAAATAATTGATTCAAAGAAGAATTTTAGTTAAAAATTCTAGAAAATAATAATTGAATTGAAATAGTGGAAATAATTTCGAAGAAATTTCAGTAACAATATGCTTATAATATAAAATAATAATTTTATCACTCGGTAGTCTTTTATAATAATAAATTCTTTTATTGAATTTAGAAGTTTTAAAAATCCTAATTTCTGTGAAAAAATAATATTTATTTAAAAATAAAGTTATTGATGTTTTCGAATAATTTGACAATTAAAGAAATTCGCAAATAAATGTATTCGAACATTTTTTTTTTTGAGTGTTTAATAATTTTTAGAGTGAATCAAAAAAAGGGAGAAAGTAGGATTAGGGAAAAAGTGCAAATTTTGTCTGAAAATCAGGAAAAAGTCAGAGAAAGACAAAATTTAATTTCTGTGGCAACCCTGTTAAATTTAGCTTTGGAATTTTAATTCAAAGAAGATTTTTCGTATTATTTGTGAATTTACTTGACTGTCTCGTATAAAAAAGTACAGAGAATGATAAAAATGAATCTTGATATGAATAGCCTCGCGTTCGATAAGAAGTAGCGGTGGACGTAGCAGTCGATCGGGAATGAGAGCTTTAGTTGATGCACTTAGCGATACGAGACCAAAATCACCCGTGAGCCAAGTAGATAACGAAGAACCAATCGAATTGGCGCATTATCCTGATGCAATGAAACCGTCGCCCGGCTCTCAACCGCCGATCGAAAGAGATGATTTCCCGGCCCCACCTTATCCTTACACTGATCCTGAGAGACGAAAACGATGGTCGGATACATATAAGGTATTATTTCCTTTTTCTTCTTCTTTATACAAATACATTATTATCTACAAATAATTTAGACTTCAATTTAGATATTGAAATACCATTATTTATTGAAATGAGTGTTTGTATTATTCAAGGGCGTACCTGAATCTGACGATGAAGACGAAGTAGATCATAAAAGTTACATAAAGGAAGTGGAGCAAAAATTGAAAAAGGAGCATGACGAGTTGAGCAAAATTGACACGGGAATTGCTAAGGTCTTTTTACAAGATCGAGAGAAAGATCGGGAGAATCTTAGACATAAGGCGGCTAATGTTGATCCTAGAAATGCCTCGAGAACGCCATCAGCTGCTCGCGAACCGACCTATCGATTGCGATACGAGAGTCCTGTTGGTGCCTGTAAGTATTTTATCAGTTTTTTTCTTACATTTCTACTCTTTTCTTCATTTCTTGTATTGTTTTAATGTTAAACAGGCCTCGGATATTATGACTTTTTCGACTATTTTCGAATAATGCGACTTTTATCAACTTATATTAAAAAAAATTGCGACTTTTCTTTCAAATTTTCCAACAAAATACCACAATTTTTATATGAAATGCAACTTATTTCTATTTTTATTTTTATATAGTGTAAAAAGTATAACTATAGACAAATTTTTAAAAAGTTATTCTTGATTCATTTTTCTAATTAAATTTTTAAAATATACCATTAAACAGATTTTGAATGATTGAGATTTTGTAAAATTTCATTGAAAATAAATCATTTTTCTTCAAGTATTTTATTAGTTTTTAAAAATTATTTTTAAAGAATTTTAATTTAAAATTTAGAAAATAATTGAATTCCTCAAAAATTTTGATGAAAAATCTTCAAGTGTAAATTTAATAAAAATTAAAATTAATGAAAATTAGATTGTAAAAATAATATTAAAATATTTTTTTAAAAAAACTAATTCTCAGAATTTTTTCATTTTAATTTTTTAAAATTCAATATTTTCGATTACATATTTCCGAAAATTCAAATGCATACAAAAAATATTAAAATTTTTTAGAATCATTTTTAACATTTTGAAAGAAATAATCGTATTCAAAATTTTTAATTAAAATTCTTAAAAAAATTAATTATTTTAAATTATACAAAAATTCTTTTTAGAAATTAAATTATTATTTTCGAAAAATGATATTACAATATTTATAAAAAAAATGTAATTGAAAAAATATTGTCTAGTGTCTTTCAAAAATTATTTAGAAATATTTTAAAAAAAATTAATTTTAAGAATTTCTTTATTCAAAATTTTGAAAATTTTCTACCTTTATTAAATTTATTAAATATTCTATCTTTAAAAAAAATTTACAGTTTCAATTATTATAAAAAAATTGAATTTTTGTATTTAAACAATTGAATTCTCGAAGAAATTTCGCAAAAATATTAAAAATTAAGAAAGATAATTGATTTAGAGATGAAGTTTAGTTAAAAACAGTAGAAAATAATTGAATTTTTGGAAAGGTCATAGTTGTAATTTTTAAAAATTAATAAATTTCAGAAGTTGAAATTTTTTTAATTTTATTTCCCGTGAAAAAAGAAATAAAAGAAGTATTTAAATATTTATTTTGCAAAATTATTCGAGTTTTGATTAATTAAATTTAGAAATCAGGGAACTCTATTTTTAATCGACTAAATCGACTTTTTTGACTCATTAAAGTCTATTTGAGGCCTGTGTTAATTTTGATCTAAATTTCAATAAAATACAAATTTCGATCGCTTCTACATAATTAGTTCGAAAAAATTTAATTTTTCAATTCTATGTTTTTGATGATTTAAACTGCAATGAATCTACTTTTTCATATTTTACTACATGGTTCATTCATCTAAATAGTAATGTTCATTGACCTTTTCATAAAGATAATAATTGTTTCTAAATCTTTTACAAATGACGAAATAGGAATTTTTTTCGAATATTAAATTCCAATTAAACTTTAGATTTGACTTTTCTTATTTTTGATTTGAATATAATAGCTATTTAATATTCTGAAGAAAATATTCTTTAACTAAACTAATTATATTAAGTGGATGTAAATTAATTGAGAAATATCGGAATTACAAATTTTACATTTTTCTTATGTGAAAGAATTAATTGATTCATAAGTTCTCATTTGTCATTGAATTAAAGTTTAATTCATCAAAATTTCAATCAATTTCAATTTAAATTAATTAACGCATTTTATTGATTAAAAAATGTCACTTTAATTTTTATTGGTCGAAATTCCTTTTATTTTATATTTTAATTAACTAATTTTTTTATTATCAGATATCACTAAAATTTTCTATTTTCTATGCATATTAATGTATTGAAAGTTTATTGAATTATTTGCTAAGAATTTTAAGAAAAAATTTTAAAGTAATAAAATTTCTTATAAGAATTTTATTATTTATGAAAGTAATTTAATGCTTTTGAGAAGAATTTTATTAAAATTTTTGAAAATCCTAATTAAATTCATTTGAAGAATTTCTTTAAATATTTTCAAAATAATAAGTAGTGTTTCTTTAATAATTTTAATTTAAAATATTTGAAAGAAATTAAATTTTATGAAGAATTTTTTTCAAGTTTTTAAAATAATCAAGCTTGTTAAAAATTTAAATTAAATATTTAATTATTAAATTTTATTATACACTAGCAAATGTTACGCGCGGAACATGATGTTCAATTTATTATTATTATGCAAATTACAACATTTTTTAATTTTTGAATAATTTTAAATTCAAACTTTAAAAAAATGCAATTATTAACTTATTTACTAATTAATTATTCTTCTTTATTAATTTAAAAATATAATATTAAAATTCTTCGCAAGAATTCTATTATTTTCATAAATAATAACATTCTTCATAAGAATTCAATTATTTTTATTTAAATAGTAAAATTTTTTGCAAGAATTCAATTATTTTTAAACAAAATTTTAATAAAATTTCACTAACGAATACAATTATTTTATAAAATTTTAATAAATACTTCGAAAGAGTTCAATTATTTTTTAAATAATAAAATTTTCAACAAAATTTGACGAAAGAATTTTTTTTTATTTAATTATGTACCTAATAAATGAATTTTTGTAATTTTGAATCTTAAATTATTCAAAAGTTGAAATTTATATTTGAAAATAAAAAAGTTTGTAAATTGCATAATAATAAATTGAATATCATATTTCTAGTGTATCATTCGCTAGTGTAAATAATATTAGGCTTTAATAATATAATTCAATAAATCCTAAAGCCCACGGATATGATTCCAATGCAGTATTTTAAATTGAAAAATGAGAATTTTACATTTATGTATGAACTTGAATTTAAATTTAAAGAAATATTAACTAAAAATAAAATTGAAATTTAGATTAAACAAAAGTTTTTCTTTAATAAATCTCGGATTTGTAAAATTTTGTTCAGACCAGATATGTAGAAGTAGAAAAATTATAAATAGTTTTGAAGTATATAATTTTCTTATCTTAATAAACAATTTTTTTTTACTTTTAGCACCATCAAGAAATATAGATCACGCTAGACCCTGGGAAGAAGAAGATGGACTTAGTTATAAATCAAGTGGGCCAAGTTACAATGGTAAGTTTCTCTAAAAAGAAATCGAATTGACAATTCTTTTTATCATTTATAAACGTGTCATCTCATACATGTCCACACGTTCGCACATGACACTAACATCTCACTCTACTGATTTATATTACTGCCATCGGCTAAGCTCTCGAAGGATAGCGGGGTCTCTATGGGTCAAAAAGCACGTTTTTTTCCCAACCCTACTAAACGAAATTGGCTTTCTAGTGGTTTGTCAAAGTCAAGCAAACAAAACAAATGGGCAAAATCAAGTCGCGAATTGGAAAGAACCACATTCGTTAAGTAAACGATTTCTAGATGCTGTTCTTGACAAGGATATATAGTTTTTTTTCAAAAACAAAAGAGAAAAGAAAAGAAAAAAAGTAGCATTATTAAATCAGTCACTCTGGAAGTTGGAAGAGAACAGGTGACGTATCTGGCTTTTTGCATGATTCTCCTGTTATGGTACGTGGTTTCATCTTTTGTTTTTGTTTCTTTTTTTTTCATAATTATACTGAAATTAAAAATTTAAAGAAGGAAAAAAACATAACAGGACAATGTTAACGATGAAAAATTGTATTTTCTGATGTTTCATTTAGCGACCGAAATGGTTGCCCTAGACGCACCTTGCTATCTCTTTGCATGCTGCACCAAAATTTTTACGTCACATTCATGACACATACACGTTTTTAATTATTCCACTAATTTCTTTTCAATGTTGGAAGATATTTTTAATTTTTGGCCCTGTTTGGTTTTTCTATTTTTTTCCTACTATTTCTAAAAGAATTTTTTGACGTTTGAAAAAGGAATGAAATTCTATAAAGAAATTTTAAAAAAGTGATTTTATTTTGTCAAGGTTGCCACAGGTCAGGGAATTCAGGTAAAAGTCAGGGATTTTTATTAACAATACTAGAAAAATTAAATTTTAGAATTCATAAGAAAATCCTGAATTTTGGTCTTTTTTGTTTGCCTCATAAACTATGAAATTACCACGAATTCTAATTCAAAACCTTCAATTTTTCCTATTTCTGACAATAATTTCTTTTTAAATAACTTAATTCTTGAAGAACTATCGTAAAATTATTACTTATAAATTATTTAATTAATAATTTTACTTAAAAACTTCAAAATTAATTGAATTTCAAAAGAGTTGCGTTTACAGTTTTTATAAAAAGATGAACTTCAGAAGGTTTCGATTTGAAATTTTAAAAAAATTTAATAATTTTCAATGGATTTAATTAGAAATTTTTAAGAAAATTTTAATAATTAAAATTTATCTGAGATTAGTTAATTTTTAAAATTCATTTAACTAATTATTAAAATTAATGGATTTGCTTGTAGAAGAATTTTAGTTAAACAATGATTTGCAATACCTATATACTCTTTTAATAAAGTTTTCCAAAAGAATTCAATTAATTTAAAAAAATTTTAATAAAATTCTTCTAAAACATTTAATTACTGTCTTAAATAATAAAAATTCCACAAGAATTCTGTTATTTACCAATTTTTTATAAATTTCTTCGAAATAATACAATTATTTTCAGAAATAATAAATTTTTTTACAGAGATTCAATTATTTTCATAAATAATGAAATTAATAAATATTGATAAATAGCAGAATTTCACCAGAAATTTAATTATTTTCAGAAATTTTAATAAAATTCTTTGTAAAATTCAAGTATTTTCGTAAATAACAATATTCTTTACAAAAATTCAATTATTTTCAAAAGTAATAAGATTCTCAAGAGAAATTCAATGATTTTAAAAAAACTTGATAAAATTCTTGGCAAAATTTCAATTATTTTCAAAATTTTCGAATATTTAATAATTTTCAATATTTACTATTTTTATATAATTTACTAAAGGAATTCAATTATTAAAAAAAAATTATTAAAACTAATAAATTAATTAATAATTATTAACTAATTAATAAATTAATTTAATAAAGTAATTCTACATAAACATTTAATTATTTTCATAAATAATAAAAATTTTACAGGAATTCAACTATTTAAAATCGAATTTGCATAAAATTTTTCGAAAAAAGTCAATTATTTAAAAATTTCTAATGACATTCTTTACAAGAATTCAATTATTTTCACAAATAATAACATTTCTCACTGGAATTCAATTATTTAAAAAAATTTATAAAATTCTTCTCCTAGAGAATTCAGTCTTTTTCATGAACATTAAAATTCTTCTCAAAAATCCAATTATTTTCATAAATTATAAAAATCTTTTTTAGAAATCCAATTATTTCCATAGAAGATAATAAAACTCATTGCTGAATTTCAATTGTTTTTAATACAATTTGAAATGATTTCGTTGAGAAATGCAGTTACTCTTAAAAATTTTGATTAAAATTCGCCGAAAGAATTTAATTATTTGAAAATTTGTTGATAAAATTCTTTACAAGAATTCAATTTTAAGAAACATTCAATTATTCAACAAATTATTTATTTTTGTATTTAAATAATTGAATTCTAGTAGAATTTTCTAAATTCTAATAAAAAATTGATTTAAAAATGAATTTGTGTTAGAATTTTAGATAATAATTGAATATTAAAAGCATTCTAGGCGTGAATTTTTAGAAATAATTAAATTTTGAAAAGGTTTCAAATTAAAATCTTTGAAAATCTGCTTTTTTCACACTTTTAACTATAAAAATTCTGTAGAATTGATTTTTTTTTTAAGTTTAATTGAATTTTTTAAAAATTATTTCAAGTTTTTATTTTCTAATATAGAATATTTAATTATTGAAGAATTTTCTAATAATCGAAATTTCGTAAAATTGAATTGTAGACAAATGGATTTGAAAATTCTTAAAGAACTTTTACAAAAATAATTAAAAACAATTGATTTAAAGAAGAATTTTATTTAAAAATTCTAGAAAATAATAATTGAATTAATGAAAATAATTTTGAAGAAGTTACAGTAACAATATTCTTATAATATAAAATAATGGTTTTATCACTCGGTCATCTTTAATTATTTTAAAACATGAAGATATCGATTACTCCGAGTCATCGATTTCTTCTTGTTTTATAACAATTTTTTATAAGTTGTTTAATTTCAAAAAGGTTTGAATTTGAATCTTTTGAAGAATTTTAATTCCTATAGAAAAATAATAATTAAATATTTATTTAAAAAAGAGGTTATTGATGTTTTTGAATAATTTTACAATTAAAAATAAATTTATAAATAAATGTTATAGAACATTTTTTTGAATATCTAATCATTTTTAGAGTGAATAAGAAATATTCTTTAGTTTCAGGGAAAAAGTGAAAATTTTGTCTGGAAATCAGGGAAAAGTCAGGGGAAAAAAAAATTAAATTTTTGTGGCAACCTCTGTTTTTGTTGATTTTAAAGAAACTTTTTGTTTTAAAAAATATTTTTAAAAAACGTTAAAAATAAATTTTTATCAATCATTAAAATTGATTGAATAATATTGCTTCATTATCAAAAAATTAAAAAAATGTTGTCACCCTTTTTCTTAATAACTATAAATTTTTGAAGTAACAGTTTCTAAATAACAAACTTTAAGTTATTTTTTGCTTTGTGGAGAATTTTTCAAACGTCGTAAAATTTCGGGATTGCATGCTTTTATTTAATGGAGTTTGTTTGAAAAATGCATTTTTTGAATTTTCGTTGTCTTCCAACATTGCATTTAACAGTATTATCAATAATTATTTTTTTCTATGAAATTCAATAAAAAAGCTGTCTTGTATCACCGTGTTTCTATTTGTGTATTTGTATTTGTGTTGTGATTGCGTTGGGCGTCAGCTGGGAGATCATCGACTCGTTCCCCGGCTCCCAGAAACTATCCAACTATTGGTTCACAGCGCGCCTTCACTCTTCCGAATACTACTAGAGATTATAATTCGGTGAGTTCACCAAAACTCTCCAATTCTCATCTACCGTGTTAAAGCATCGCAAATTGTCATTTTCTTCATTTCTGTATTTTGACAAAATAATTTTATTAAAATTATCATTTATTTTGTGAAAATATTTGAAAATTAAAATGTTTGCTTTGCCAGCACGGAAGATGATTCTTTTTAGTCCCTTGGTGCTGGTTACATTGGATTATTTCTTATTAAGCTACTATGCTTTTTACATCTTATTTTCTTAGAATTCCAGGACTGAGTAATTTTTCTTTTGCAATAATAGTATTCAAAGGAGTGGATAATTTTTCTATAAATTTGATTCTATTATTTTTTTTGTTTTGTTTTTCTTATATTGACTGATTAAAAATTCAGTTTTAATTGGGACTTTTAACATAAGATAATATTAACTTTTGAAAAATTAGTAAGAAAATATTTAATACATTATCACAAAAATTGAAGAATTATTTGATATTTGCTGTAATGGTGTTCATTTTATTTTTGCATCTTTCTGTGGTTATTCCACTTTTTTCTACCAAATTATTTTTTACTGAATGTATTTAATTTTCTATGTTTTCTAATTCTCATTGTCTTTTATTTATTAATCTCCATTATCACAGGCTTCGTACTCATCTACTAAAAACCTAATATTTACTACTTTTTTTTAGATTTGTTGAATTAAAAGCTACTTTTTTCTTTTTCTGAAAATTTGCACTACTTTAAATTCGCTAATAGCTGAAATAAGAAAATTATTTTCAAATATTTTACAAAATTTCTTAGAAGCAATTCTTCCACAAATTTTTATAAAATTATTTCAAATAATTCAATTATTTTCGAAAAATTTTTGGCCTGATTTTTGTCATTCAAAAGTTTTTCGAAATTCAATTATTTTCAATATCTACTATTTTAATAAAAACTTTCCTAGAGAAGAATTCAATTATTTAAAAAAAGTTGTTTATAAAATTCTTTGCAGACATTCAATTATTTTCATAAATAATAAAAGTTTCACAGAAATTCAATTATTTAAAATTAAAACACAATTTTCATAAAATTAAAAAAAAGTCAATTATTTCAAAAGATTTTAATAAAATTCTTCGCAAGAATTTAAGTATTATTTTCATGAATAATAACATTCTTCGGAAACATTCAATTATTTAAATCACAATTTTCAAAAAGATTTTAGAAAATAATCAATTATTTTAAAAGATTTTGATAAAATTCTTCGTATAAATTCACTTATTTAAAAGAATGTAATAAACTTCTTCAGAAGAATTCAGTTATTTATGAAAATAATAAAATTCTTCTCAGGAATTCAATTATTTTTAAAAATTTTAATAAAATTTGTTGCAATAATTCAAATATTTTTAAACTATAAATAATAAAATTTTTATAAGAATTCAATTATTTAAAACACAATCTTTATAACAGTTTTTAGAAAGAAATCAATTATTTAAAATGATTTTGATAAAATTCTTTGCATGAATTCCAAAATTTAATAAAGTTTTTAGGAAGAATTCAATTATTTTAGAAAATAATAAAAATTTTCTCAGAAATTCAATTATTTTAGAAAATAATAAAAATTTTCACAGGAATTCAATTATTTTAGAAAATTTTTATAAAATTTGTTGCAAGAATTCAATTATTTTCATAAATAATAAAAGTTTTATAGAAATTCAATTATTTTTAATACAATTTGAAATCAATTTCTTGAAAAATGCAATTATTCATAAAAAATTCATTAAAATTTTTCGAAAGAATTCAATTATGTTAAAAAATTCTGAAATTTATTAAAATTTAGTGATTATTTTAAATACATTTTTAATTAAATTCCTTGTTGAAAGAATTTAATTATTTTCAAAAATTTTAATGAAATTCTTCATAACAATTTAATTATTTTACAAAATTTAGATAAAGTTCGTTATAAGAATTCCATTTTAAGAAATATTCGATTATATTCAATAAATGATTTATTTTTGTATGTAAATAATTGAATTCTAGTAGAAGTTTCTTATAAGAATTAATTTGAAATTGAATTTCAGTTAAAATTTTAGATAATAATTGAATATTATAGAAGCAGTGAATTTAATAGAAGCGTGAATTTTTAGAAGTAATTGAATTTCGAAAAGTTTATAAACTGAAATCTTTGAAAATTTTAATTGTTGTAAAACTGTTTTGCTACTTTTTTAAAATTATTTATTGAGTACAAAGCCTCTTATCACTATAATATTTTTGTTTTATATATTGCATCCTAACACTAATTTACAATTTCCATTGTTCTTAATTTTTCAAGTTTCAAATAATTACATTTTATAATTTTTAGAGAACTATCCACTAATTTTTCTATTTTCTAATAAATATTTTTATAATTGTTAATAATTTAAAATTTTTGTTAAATTTCTCCTTCACTCTTGTCGAAAATACTTTGTAGAAACTCAAAGAACATTAAATACTTCATAAACTTGTTATGCTTTTTGTTAATATTTAATTAATTTTTTTGTAGAAATTATACTTTTCAGTTATTTTCTCTCAAATTTTCGAATTCTTGTCAACTATGATTTAAGAATTGAAAAATTCAATAGTATTTTTAGTTTACTTTCTTGTTACTTTAATAAATTTATTTTTTCCAAATTCATAATTTTTAGTATAAAAAATTAATGGTTCGAAAAATTAGGACTAGTTAATAATTTAAAAAAAATGGTATACCTTAATTAGGAAAAATTTCAAAATATAAAAATTAGTAATAAATTCGGAAAATTGATTTATAAATTTTTAATTTCTAATTTCTAACTTATAAAATTTCGAATGAAAAATGCCAAAGAATTAAAAAAAATTTATATCATGAAATAAAAGAAGATAAAAAGAATTTGCTTTATAATTAATAATGATAATAATTCGAAAACTTATAAATTAGTGAATAATAAAATTCAAAAAAAAAAAAAAAAAAAATTTGGGAAACGTTACAAATTAGAACAAAAATTTAAAAACCCTAATTTAGTGGTAATGGAAATTTTAAAAGGAATATATTATTATTAAACAAAATGTAAAAGTAAAAATTGTCAACAAAGATAATTGAAAATATTAATTGGAAGATATTTAAAAAAAATGAGATGCAGAATTCCGTAAAATGTTAATATAATAATTTATTTCCATTTCATTTTAAAAGTGTTGAAAACAAATGAATTTTGAATCAACTAAATCTCCTCATTTTTGTACGAATTTAAAATTATTATAATTAATATATAATTAATTAGAATTAATTATAATCATAAAACATTTTTTCATTAAGTTCCAACTCGTTCTCAGTCCTGCTCCCTTTTTTTAAAAAATTACTAAAAAAATGACATATATGCTTAAATCCTAGTAACAATATCCGGCAAGAATTATGTGCGTTCAATGCTTCCAAATTGCAGCTTGAAAGCCCAGAAAAATAGCACGTTGCGAGACCTATATAAATATGTATTTATTTATATAAACTAGAAGAAAATGCTCATAGAAATGTTGAATTTAGCGAGAATAGTCGGCTTGTCTTTTTTTTTCTTTGAAAGCAAATTAATTTACAAACAGAAGGGTGGTACGGTGTCTTCTGCGAACGTTGGTCAAATACACACGTATGGGAAATGAAAACGTGAGTTTTGCATTTGAAACTAATCAGTAATATTGTCAATTTGACATGAATTTGAAACCAGTTGTGAGCTCTCTTCGGCACATCCCAAAACCGGGATATGGTCTGGCACCGCGAAGTCACACCTTCTCTTCGACTGGCGGTTCAGTTTCTGCTCTCCCTGTAAGTCTTGCACCGCGTCTCAAGCGAGAATAATTTTTGCACCTCTTTATTATATCTTTTATAAATAATATATTCAACTATTATCATTTTTTTTGTCTCCAAATTTTTTCACTATTTTATTAATTAAAAGAATTAATTTTTGTCGTCTAGGGCGATTATTCGTTCAGCGGGATGGGAGACAAGACGCACAGCACTGACTTCTCTTCTGGCAAGTCTGATAGTGAGTAGAAAAAAGAAAAAGCGAGGAAAGTCGAAATTTCTTTTTGACGCCTTGCTGAAAAATTGCTTTTTTAATATAAACAATTATTACTAATCTCTCCCTCTTTGCACTGCACGGGGCGTTTTGGAAGCCCTGATATATACGGTCAAGTAACTTTCAAAGACAAAAAAAAAGAGGCATCAACTTTTATTATTCAAGAATAATTGAGTCTACCTGCAATTTTCTTGAGCATGCTTTACTAATTACGAAGAGCTTTTTTATTTTCATTTTTCGTTGAAATGTTTAATATGTATAGTCTTTTCTTTTTTTGTCCGAATCTATGATGTCTAAACTTGAGCCGCCGAAAAGTAATTCAAATGATTAAATTTGTGGTATCCAGACAAGAAGTCCAAACCAAAAAATCCAAAGTAGATGAAATCTAAAAAAGTAAAAAAAAAAATAGTTTTACTTTGGACTTATTTTTTTTGAATTTTTTGTCCTGGTCAAAAAGTTCAATAAAAAAAATTGAGATATAAAAATTTAAATGGTTGCCTTGAATGAAATTGTTCTTTTCAATGACTGTGAATCGAAAGTAGATGAACTTAACATTTTAAATTTCTGAAAATAATTAAATTAATCGAGCAATTAAATTGGAATTATATTGAAAAAAATAATTGAATTTTTGTAAAGAATTTTATCAGAATTGTTGAAAATAATTCATGGTTGCCACAGAGTCTGAAAATTCTGGAAAACTTGGAAATGGAATTGAATTTAGAAAAGGGTATGGAAAACCTGGAAATAGAATGGAATTTAAAAGAAATTACTGGAATTTCGCCTGTTTTTAAAGATTTTTAACAAAATTTTAATTCAAAATTATTATTTAATGATTTTCCTAAATAATAAAATTTTTTACATGGTTTCAATTATTTTCATAATTTTATAACAAAACTCATCGAAGACTTTCCATTTTTAAAAATTTTTTAATACAATTTTAATGGAATTCCTCAAAAAATGTAATTATTCTCAAAAATTTAATTAAAATTCAGCAAAAAAATTCTTCGTAGAAATTTAATTACATAATTTCAAAAATTTGTGAAAATTCAATTATTTTCAATGTCTACTATTTCAATAAAATTTCACAAAAGAATTCAATTATTTAAAAAGATATTTTAATAAAATTCGTCTCAGGAATTCAATTATTTTCAAAAGTATTCTAATTCTTCGCAGAAATTCAATTATTTCAATTATTTATTATTATTCAATTTCAATTATTTTTAATACAATTTTCATCGAATTTCTCAACAAATGAAATTATTCTTAAAAATTTTATTAGAATTTGTCAAGAGAATTAAATTATTTAAAAATTTTGTTGATAAAATTCTTTATATGTATTATGAAAATTCAATTTTTAGAAACATTTTATTTAATAAAATATTTATTATTGTAGTTAAATAAATTGAATTCTCGTAGAATTTTGTAATAAATATTGATTTAAAAACCAATTTCAGTTGAAATTTTAGATTATAATTGAATATTGAAAGCATTATAGCGTGGATTTTTAGAAATAATTGAATTTTCAAAAGGTTTCAAAGTAAAATCTCTGAAAATTTGAACTTTTCATACTTTTAATAAATTAAAAGTATTCTGCAGAATTAATTTTTTTCAAAAAGTTTAATGGACTTTTTTTTAATTATTTAAAGTTTTTATTTTCCAATACATTTAATTGAGGACTGTCAGAATAATCGAAATTTCATAAAATAAAATTGTAAAAAAAGAAATTTTTAAATTCTCAAAGAACTTTAATCAAATTACTCGAAAAAAGATATTATTCTTAAAAATTTTTATTAAAATTTATCAAAGAAATTTAATTATTTTAATAACCTTTGCTACAATTTATTTATTAGAATTTAAGTATTATTTTCAATACATTTTTAATTAAATTTTTTTAAAGAATCAAATTATTTTCAAAAATTTTAATGAAATTCTTTGCGTAATAATTCAATTTTTTTCAAAATAATTTTAAAAAATTCTTCGCGGAAATTAAATTATTTTTAAAAGCTTTTTTAAATTCTTCTCAAAATTTCAATTATTTTTATAAATAATAAAATTTTTCTCCGAAATTCAATTATTTGCAAAACTTTTAATAAAATTCTTGGCAGAATTTCAATTATTTGTAATACAATTTTCATCAAATTTCTCGAAAAATGAAATTATTCTTAAAACTTTTATTAAAATTTGCCAAGAGAGTTCAATTATTTGAAAATTTGTTGATAAAATTCTTTATGAAAATTCGATGTTAAGAAACATTTAATTGTTTAATATAATATTTATGTTTATAGTTAAATAATGCAATTCTCATAGAATTTTCTAATGGATATTGATTTAAAAATAAATTTCAAATTAAAATCTTTGAAAATTTGAACTTTTCATACTTTTAATTAAGAATTCTATAGAATTAATTTTTCTCAATAAGTTTAATAGAATTTTTTTTAATTATTTAAAATTTTTAAATTGTAATATATTTAATTGAAAAATGGCAGAATAATCAAAATTTCGTTAAATGAAATTGTAAACAAAAGAATTTGAATATTCACAAAGAACTTTTTCAAAAATTGACTTAAAGAAGAATTTGAGTTGAAGTTTTGAAGTTAGTTAGTTTTGAAGAAATTACAATAACAAAATAACATTTTTTATAATAATATTCTTATAAGTTAATGAATTTCAAATTTTTGAAAATTTTAATTTCTGTATGAAAAAATAATAATGATGAAATATTTATTTAAAAATGAAGTTATGGATATTTTCCAATAATTTTCATATTAAAAACCTGGAAAAACTGGAAAAGTCAGGGAATTTGAAAAGAGCAAAAGCTTGGTAACCATGTAATTGTATTTTTTGGAATAATTATCTAAAAAATTTTATAGAATAATTGAAATTTTTCTAGAAATTTTCTTATTTATAAAAATAATTGAATTTTTATGAAGATTTTTTTATTTTTGAAAATAATTGAATTTTCGTGAAGAATTTTATTATTTATGAAAATAATTGAATTTTTATGAAAATTTTTTTTGTTTATAAAAATAATTGAATTTTTGGGAAAAATTTTATTATTTATGTAAATAATGAAAATCCTGCGATTTCAAAAATAAGATTTTAAATTCCTATTTTATAGCGTAAAAAGTAAAAACGTGGCTTTTTCACATGTTTATTTATTTCGGATTTACTGTGTACTTTGGATTTTTTTTTTGGATTTTTCCGTCTGGATTTTTTTTTGGATTGGATTTTTTGTCCTGTAATTTAAATTTGTACAGGCATTTTCATTGGTCCCTGATGCCTGGAAAATCAATGTGCAAAATACAAATTTCAGTTTAATTTATTTTTTCTCTTTTCAAAAGATAAATTTGACTAAAATTTATATTTGAAACATTGATTTTTTAAATATTATTACAGACCAATGAAAACGAGTGAAAAAATTTTATAAGTGGTTTTACTTTCTGGCGGCTCATTTATAGAGAAAGATTTTAAAAATCGATAATTTCAGTTCTTGGAACATTTGCATGATTCGTTAAGCTACTTGAAGATTCTTTTTTTTAATTATTTAGTTTAACGAATTATTCATTCGAAATGATAGATTATTAGGATTTTTCTGTAGCAATCAAGGATATGCTTACGTGATTTTTTAAAATAAGAAATTAATAATTTGAGTTTTAACAAAATATGTTTTAATTAACCACAGTTTTGTAATTGTTAACTAATAATTTTTGTCGGATTCAAAAATGAACGTATGCAATCCTGCGCATGATGTCTATATTTAACTGGAAAGAAAACTTTTTTCATACTCTTCTGAACTTTATTTTTTTAAAAATAATTTTCACATTCACTTGTAAATAGAATGGAATTTTCATTGATTGACTGTTTTCCAGTTATAATAGCATCTTGCCAATTTTCTGCTCTTGCTTCGAATTATTCATTTCTTTTGATTATAATTCTATTTTACTGAGTAAAATTTTTATTTCAGATAGAAAGGAAATTTGTATTCACTTTTAATTGAAGTTTCTGGGGGAAATTTCGTCTTATAAAAACTGTAATTTAAAGTCTTGTATATTTTAATTTAAAATTAAATGTTTAACGAGTAATAATTTTAATTATTTATTATTATTACCAGGGATCACATTTTCACTCACCTTTTCACTTTTTTTAAACTTTCTCACCTATTTCACCTATGATGTTTATTTTCACGTATTTAATTTACTATTTTGTAAATTTTTCAAACATTTTTAATCCAAAATTTATTTTCTACAAATTTTTAATTATGTTATTTATTTATTTAATTTATTATCGGGACAAGCTGATTTTTAAAGCCTTAATTACTTTATATTTTGATAAATCTTAATTTTAATTCGACAACAATTTTTAATCTCTTCAAATTTAATTTTTCTTGTTTCTAATTAAGGTCAAACTCAGTTGGTCTAAATTTTAAATTCTAATAATGTTTTCTTTTTATTTTCTTAAACATGATTTTTATGAATTATATATTTTATGCATACGAATCATATTTATATGATTTATTCATCTAAAATAAATGATTAAACGAACTTATCTGTACAGTTCAATCGTTATTATATAAATGCATTTTTTCGAAGATAATGATAATCATAATGAACAAGTTTTAAAAATAGATTTATCAGTTCTTGTAACTTTGCTATTTTCCGAAAATTGTAATTTATTCTCAGCGTAGTATAAGAGAAATATGTTTTTGAACTTGTAAATATTTTCAAAAATTATTAAACAAAAAAATCAATCAAAATCTGTTATTAATTAAAATATATATCGATTGATATGAAATTAATATAAAAGTACCTTAAAACGAAATTATTCCGCTCGTTGTGGGTAAATTCGTTTACCGATTTATCTACTTTAACTATGCTTTAAAAGTTTAAAGTAAAATTTGATACTCCTGTTAACAAATTCAATATTTGGACTTGCTAATAGGGGTATTAAACTTTATTTTAAAGTTAATTTAAAGCAAATAAATTGGTTTGCGAATTTACCCACATTGAGCGAAATAATCCCGTCTTACACTACTTTGTTTTTTTAATGAATTATTATTATTTAAATTTAAAGTAAAACAAATGTTAATTAGATATTGAAAATTAATTTTTTTTATGAAATTCCTTCATGAACAAATTAGTTTTGATTCAATTTTAAAAATTTAATTATTCGGAAGAATTCAATATTATTCTTATAAATAGTAAAATTCGTTGTAGGAATTCAATTATTTTTTAAAAATTTTTAATCAAATTTTTAGAAAAAACTTAATTATTTTCTAAAATTTTTAAAAATTTTCGAAACAATTCAACTATTGTTATAAATAGTGAAATTCTTCGCAAGAATTAAATTATTTTTATAAATAATAAAATTCTTCTCGGGAACTCAATTATTTTCAGTACAATTTTAATAAAATTCAATAATCAGTTTTTTTAACTATAATTATTAACAGACACGATTATTTTAAAAAGTTGAAAAAAATTCTTTTTTTAATTCAATTATATTAAATATTTTGATTGAAATTAAAAAGAACATTATTTTCAAAAAAATTAAAGAAATTCCTCAAAAGAATTTAATTTGTCATTAAAAAAATAATTGTAATAAAATTTAATAGTAAAATTTATTTATAAAATTATAATTATTTATAACGTTTAAAAAATTAAAGATTTTTTTGAAAGAATTCAATTATTTTTAATATTTTAATAAAATTCCTTGAATTAATTAAATTATTTTCAAAAATTGTAATGAAATTAAACAATAAAATGTTTAATTTCAATTATTAAGAAACAAGATTATTTTAAAAATCTAAAAGAAATTCTTCATAAATTCTTTCAAAATTTTTAATTAAAATTATTTAAAAAAACGCCATTAATTTTAAAAAAATTCAAAGGAATTCTTTAAAAGAATTTAATTAGGATTTTCAAAAATTTTAATAAAATTCTTTAGAAGTTTTTAATTATTTTTGAATCTAAATAATAAAATTCGTCGAAGGAATTCAATTATTTTTAAATTTGTTGATAAAATCTTGCAAGAATTCAATGATTTTCAATAAATTAATTTTAAAATTGAAAAAATATAAAAAGAAAAATGATTAAAAAGTTGGGAAACAAAAAGGCAAACGAATTAACTTTAAACTGCAAACAGTTTTAGCGAAATACGATTATTAATATAGAAGGTTAATTAAACTTTCACTATTAAAAATTTGTAAGTCTTGACACATTTTTTAAATATTTTTATTTTTTTTTATTTATTATTTATTTTTATTAATTAGTTCGTGTAAAAAATTTTAAACTTGAAGATCTCAAATTAATTATGTACATTAAAATGTATAATTGAAAACGATTGATAATTCATTCTTAATAACAATTTCAACCTTTGTGTTTAAAATAGACCGTAAACAATAACTAAACAAAACATTTGAACTGTAGTTGGAAATCGAGAATTTACTGAATTAATTTAAATTATTAAATTGAATTATTTTAACTGAATTTGTTACTATGTAGGTAATTATTGGAAATTAGTAATTCATCGTTTATTCCACGTTTTTATAAAATAATTTAAATAAATTCTCATGAACTCTCTCGTTCAGGTACAAAATTAAAAATTACTTTTAACAGTTTTTATATTTAGACGAAATTTTCCTTAAATTTCCGCTAGTAATAATTTAAAAGATTTTTGAGGAAAAACATGTTTTGTTAATTAATGAAAAATTTGAAATGCAAGGATGAAAAAAAATTGTTATAATAGTCTCTAGTTGTTAAAAAAAAGATGGTTTGTGCAAAACAGTTTTGACATGGTGTTTACCCGTTTTTCCTCCAAATTTAGTATCAACAGGCAGCATCACGGATGTGGACCGGCGGGCACTGGTATGTACCACAGCCCCGTACTTCTCCCAGCGAATTAGCATGGTTTGTAGCTCGCACTTGCATCTTTATTGCAATTTTGCTTTTTTTATATTTCAAAACTTTTCATTTTAGAGTTTTCAGTTCAGTAAAAAAATCAGTAATTTCATTAATGTAAATTGAACATTATCATTTTTTTAAAATGAACTTTTGTGTAAATTGTATCGTAATAATTTTGTACAGAAAAAGCTTTTTTATTAAGTTAGTGATTAGAAAAATTTGTCTACTTAATTTGATATTTTAGTTCAAATTTTGACACGTTACTAGAACGCATGTACATTAGCTTATTTATTTCCACAAGAAATTTTTATTACACTTGTCATTTTTGATACAGAATTCACTTGTGAATTACAGTTTAAGTGAATGTAAATAGCACTGTAAATTTTTCGCATGGACGCTTTACTGTTAATTCATAAGAATATTTATTTTCTCACATTAAACATTTTTATTTCATGTATTTCTTTATCTTTTTATTAATTTATTTATTTGGAGTGAGGCATTTCACAGATTTGGCACTAAAGTAACACTGACTGTTTTGCCAATTTTCTTTTTCTTAAACTCTACCTAAATGTTTGTAATTTAATTTTTTACCTGGCAATTGTTTCGCTATTTATGAATAAAGAAAATAAAATTTGTTGTTCTATTATCGTGAAAAATATTGAGAGGCAGTTTATTTTTTTATTTTTTGCTTGATTGCGTTTTGCATATATATTTTTCTAAATTAATGTTTCTAGTTACGTGGTTATAATTATATACTATATGTCGAGACGAGAATGAAAATAAATTTTTGTTTTTAATTAATTTTATTAATTTGATATATTTAAAGTGTCTTCGTGTTTCGATGTTAGGAATTTTGTGATGTGAATTGGCGGAAAATTGATTTTTATTATTGGTTTAGAATGACGGTGGAATCCTGCCATCGTCAACCACCTATACAGGCGGACTGGGATCGGTAGTAGTAGGTCACAGTGGTCATCATGTGAGACGTTCTCTACCGGATATGGGTGCAGCACCGACCGAACCTCCAAAACTTTATCCTTATCACCTGCTCACAATCACAAATTATCGATTGCCCGCTGACGTCGATCGCTGCAATCTTGAGGTAAGTCCTAGTGAATTCTTTTTTTTTTTTTTTTTGAACTTGAACTCTTTTTTTAACGGAAAATATATTTTCACTTTTCTATTTGATCGAAATGGAACCATGTGAATTTTCATCATTTTCACGTGTGTTGGAAATCAAATTTTCTCGAATTTCCAATTAACTGACATTTCATTTGTCCGGAAAATCATTTGTCATTCGCATTTTTAACGTGAATTCAGACATCATGCAGATTAATACCTTTTCTTCTTTTTTTCAACTATTTTAAATTTTACTATCATTTTTAATAATTTGATGAAATTTTCTTCACTTATTTGAAAAAATTTAAATTTAAATAATTTCATTTCATAATTCGTAAAGGTATTTCTAAAACAGTTTTTTTTTTATTGAAGAATAATTTGAAGTAAAATAATTAAAGTAAAATTTATGTTAACAATAAATTCCTCTCGTTGCTTTACAATCAAATATTTTTTAAAAATACAATTATTTCTACAAGTGCTATACTACTTTTATTAACAAAATTTCAAAAAATTCACAATGTAGATAGAAACAAGGTCACTTTAAATATTAAGTTTTTTATTTTAAGGAAGACTTCGACAAAATTTTTAACTATATCTAGAAAATGATTTAAATCTTCCATAAAACTATTTTTATAGTAATTTTTAGAGAGAAAATGAATAGTCAGAAAATATTCTGTCCCCTTTTTGGATTTATATTTTTCTTAAAAAATAATTTTTAGTACCTATTCTTGAAGTATTTTTTTGAAAGCAACATTGTTTTTAAGTTGAAAATGCTAAAAAAATATTGTTATTCAATTTTTTTTTTATGAAAATTCACTTGTTTATTTTTCTAACTAATTTCAAATCAATTTTTTTTAAATAAAATGTATAAAGTACAAAAAAATTATAATAAAATTATGATCTTAAATTAGTTAGAAAATTAAACAAAGAAATGACTTTTTTTAAAAAAGAAATGCTTCAAAAATAATAAAAATAATTTTTTTCATTCGGCAATTTTTTGGTGAATACAAAAAACATATTTTCTACAAAATTACGGATGGATTTTAAAATCTGTCAATTTTTAAGAAAAATAAAATTCCAAAAAGGTTCCGAATATTTTCTGACCATTGAATTTCCTCTCTAAAAATTACTATATAAAAATAATTTTATAGAAGATTTAAATCATTTTCTTGATATATCTAGTTAAAAAATAATGTAGTCGAAGTCTCCCATTAATCAAATTTGAAATGAACAGAAAATTTCAATTCATTCTATTACACAAATTCAATCGGAAGAAACATAAAATATCACCTTCTTGTCATTTATTTTTGAAAAATAATAAACATTTTCATTTATTTTTAGGTGAAGAAGTATTTTTTTCTAAATAAAACCTAATTCCTTAAAATTATTGAAGTTTAAACCGATTTATGTTTTAATTCATTCAAATTCAATTTATCTAAATTTTTTATTTAAGTATTTAAATTTACAATTTTAATAATTGATTTAAATTTGATTCATCTTAAATCTATTTGAACTTCAAATAAGCCGCTGGATCATAGGACACGTAAAAATTTTTCTCAACCGAAATCTAAGTCAATGATACAAAAAAGTTATTTTCTTTATAAACAAAATTGGTATTAATGAACTTTTTTCTCTTTTTATCATTCGTAGAATATTTTAAGACGTATTTTCTTGTTTGTTTCATTGAAAAATTTTAAAAATCTTCGAGTTGAAGAGAAAAATGTCATTAAATTTGCAGTTTAAAAAAAACACAGTTTTTACCAAATATTTCAAAAACTGTAATAAATGAAAAAAAAATTTATAAGAAAAAAGGATGCGCAATGAAATTTTCTATAAGGATAAGTGTTTAAAATATTTAAATTCAGAAGTTGAATTTTGAGTGTCCGGAGGACTTAGATTTCGGTCGAGTAAAATTTTTAAGTTAATAAAAACATTACAATGAATCAAGTTTTTAATTAATAAAAATTATTTTTTCATTAAAAAAACTACTTTAATTTCTAGGAGTATTAAAATTGACCCTTTACAATGTTCTTAATTGGGTAATTTCAAAATTCAAGCTAAAATTCCTTGTAACAAACGATCGTTCGATTGAACTAAATTTTGGGCAAATAAAATTCCTGCTATAGATAGATGCAAAATCAACTGGAAATTTGGATAAATTTAAATTCAAATAAAGGAAATATGTGATAAATTTAAATTCAAATAGAGGAAATATTTGATAAATTTAATTTCAAGTGGAATAAAAAGTGTAAGAAAAAAAATTTTACATTTCGTAAACTTTGGAAAATTTTAGTTTTTTGAAACTTAAAAATCTTTCTCTATTATTTCTCAAAGTCTTTAAACTTAGAAATTACAAATTGTATTATTTCCAGAATACATTTTACTAAATTCAAAGTATATTTTACTAATTTTCAATAAAATTTACGACTGATGTTATAAAGTTTACTCTAGAAATGACGATTTTTAATAACAAAATTTACTATTTTCAATGTTAATTTTTTTGATATAAAAATTATTCAAATTTTCCTCGAACATCACAATTAGCCATTGAAAACTATTTTTCAGTAAATTTTAGGCAGATACTATTTTTAAAGTAAATTTTTCTTATTTTTATTAAAAATAATTTTCTTTAAAAATAGTAAAAGCAATTCTGGAAATAACAATTTTTATTTTGAAATTTTACTATTTTTGAAGGAAATTTTTCCATGACCCAAGTTAATTTTACTAATTTTAAAACAAAAGTAAGGTTGTAATAAAAATTTTGATTAAGGGGAGACTTTGTACTACATTTTTGACTATATTAAGAAAATGATTTAAATCTTCCATAAAATTATTTTTATAGTAATTTTTTTAGAGGAAACCAATGGTTAGAAAATAAATTAGGTCAGAAAATATTCTGACCCGTAATTTTGTAGAAAATATGTTTTTGTATCTCCAAAAAAATTACCGAATAAAAAATTGATTTTTACAATTTTTGAAGCATTTTTTTTAAAAAACTTTTCCAGATTAAAAATCGGAATTCTCCAGGTTTTTAAAACGAAAATTATTCGAAAACATCAATAACTTAATTTTTAAATAAATATTTAATCACTATATTTTTTCATAGAAATTAAGATATTCAAAAATTTGAAATCCAATAACATATAAGAATATTATTATAAAACATGAAGATATCGATCACTCCGAGTCTTCTGAAATATATGGTTTTTGAAAATCCGCGTAAAAAATCAAAATTACTGATTTCCCCGACTTCGATCTTTTGAAATTTTTTTAAAGGGGTTCTAACATTAAAATAAATAATTATCAAAAGAAAAGATTGTCATTGGATAAACGTAGGTATCTTCAGTTTCATAAAATGTTATTAAAATGTTTAAAATACTTGGTTAATTGTGAAAAATTCTGAACTAAACTAAATTTTTAAATTTAAAGAGATTTGCTCCTCACCTTTCTTCGGAGCGTTTCTCAAATAATCTCACAAATTTTAACTTAAATTTTTGTTATTAATAAAATTAAAAATTAATAACTTATTTTATTAACAATTTACTTGAAGGAGTTTATATTTTTTGTCGTAATTAGCTAAAAACATACCAAAACAATTTTATTTTTGGGTCTGGAATTTTTTAAAAAATGGTCTGGAAAACCTGGAAAAGTCATGGAATTTTAAAATCGATGTTTTGTGGCAACCTTGTTAGAAAATTCTACGAGAATTGCATTATTTAACTATAAAAATAAATATTATATTAAACAATTAAATATTTTTTAACATTGAATTTTCATAAAGAATTTTATCAATAAATTTTTCAAATAATTGAATTCTCTTGACAAATTTTAATAAAAGTTTTAAGAATAATTGCATTTTTCGAGAAATTTGATGAAAATTGTACTAAAAATAATTGAAATTCAGCATTGAGTTTTATTATTTATGAAAATAATTGAATTCCTGTAAAAAATGTTAATATTTATGAAAATAATTGAATCCCTGTAAAAAAATGTTATTATTTATGAAAATAATTGAATAATACATATGAAAATACTTTGTAAATAATTGAATTCCTGTGAATTGATGTATAAATTTTTAATATGGAAATTCACTTATTTATTTTTCTAACTCTTTAAATCATAATTTTTTAAAATATAAAATATGAAAAAATTATGATAAAATTATAATTTGAAATTACCTAGTTGGAAAAATAAACAAGCGAATTTCCATATAAAAAAATTAAAAATAATGGTATTTTTTATCACTTTCAACCTAAATACAATGTTTTTTTTCAAAAAAAGCTTCGAAAATTGTAAAAATCAATTTTTTCTTTCAGTAATTTTGTTATTGACACAAAAACATATTTTCTACAAAATTACGGATGGATTTTAAAATCTGTCAATTTTTAAGAAAAATAAAATTCTAAAAAGGTTATGAATATTTTCTGATCATTGATTTCCTCTCTAAAAATTACTATAAAAATAATTTTATGGAAGATTTAAATCATTTTCTTGATATAGTTAAAAATGTAGTCGAAGTTTCCTGTTTCCCCTTAAAAATTTAAAGAAAGTTACAGACTACGGAAAAAGAGAAAAAAAAATATCAGTAATTTATAGAAAAAGTTTAACAAAAAAAAAATATTTTGATTTCAAAAAACTATGGCGAAGAGAAAAAGCAAAAAAAAAAATTTAAATAAATTTTGTACGTTATCCTAATACAATAATTTTTACTTATTTTAGAAATTCCCCTTTTTAAAACTGAATCCCCTTTTTCTGTCTATAATATTACATGGAAAAATCACTGCGATCCCTGAAATCAAAATTTAGGTTAACTTTCGATAAATATAAAATAAAAAGTACAAAAAATAAATATTTAAAAATTTACAGCAAAATGATAAAAATAAAAAATAAAAAAAATAAAATTTTTCTATTTTTAGCGGCATTTATCCGACGCTGAATTCGAAGCTATTTTACAATGCTGTCGTGCTGAATTCTACAGACTGCCACAATGGCGTCGCAACGAAATCAAAAGGCGTGCACGTTTATTCTAACTGCTTTTCTCGCAGTTGTTGTTCTCGTTTCAATTACCAAAAGCGCCGTATCACGTATCGGTACAGGGTAAACATTCCTTCAGAAGCAGTTATCATTGTTTATCACTTTTAAAAACATTGTTCGTCGATTCACACTTGTCACGATAAATAATTTTTCATCACTGCGCATTTGTTGCTAAAATGGAAGAATGAAAAAAAGGAAATTAAAAAAAAAAAGAATAGAAGGAAACCCCACTCCGAATAATACTGCCGTTTAATATTTAAAAAAACAGTCGAGTCAAAAGCGTTTGTCAATTTTAATTGTTTTACCCTTTTTATATAAATATTTATAAAAAAAAATTGAATACTAATGCTGACTAAATTTTCAGCAAAGCATGTAGAATTTTTCTAAAAAAAAACAATAGGGAAACTTTGTCTCCTTTTTGAGCAAAAAAAAAAAGGAATTAGCTTTTTCAAAATTTCCTAAACAAGCACAAGTATCAAAGTGATGTTTAGATATTAAAATTTGAGAACTATATTTATATTAGAAATAAGATTCTAATTGCCTAAAAAATTTCATTTTAGAATATTGTCAAGAATCAAAAAAAAAAAAAAAAAGAAAGGTAAATAAAATTACCTTAAAATTTGGACAACGCATGTTTATTATTGATTACTTTGAAAAAATGAAAATAGAGTGAAAGAAACGCTCATTTAGAAACTAAATCTCATCATTCACATTGAGCTCGAGTTTTTCATTTTTATGACTCGTTTTCTATAACTCAGCTGATGATGATGTTTTTGACAATGGCAGAAAAGGGGACGTGCTTGTTGCAATATATTATTGTAAATAAGAACAAAAGTATCAAAATAAAAACAAACAAACAAAAAAAAGAATAAAATTATTAAATAGAAGTTAGGTGGACAAAAAAAAATATCTATCAATTTAATGAGCGAAAATTCAACACTTAAACATGCTTAGTTCAGTCACGAATATTCATACTCTATGAGATGTTTATAACTTCGTTAAACAAATTTACAACAGTAAATTGTATTTGAAAAAAAACTACTACGATTTAAACATTTTAATAAAACTATTATTGTATTATTATATTTTACTATAAGCGAAAAAATAGCATGTAAAATTTAAGTAGCTAGGAGCCGTGTAGCTTTCTGAATGAGAATAGTTTATAAATAATTATTAATATCTGTATGAAATTCATTATATTATAATTATCAGCGCGCAGTTTACATCTTTTAAGAAGAAATTAATTGTGCCCTTGTTTCTTTGAAATGAGCGATTTTTAATTAGAAGAATAACTCAATAATTTTTTTAGATGCATGAAAAATGGTAAATTGATTTTTAAAATGGAAAAAAATTAGTGTGTGGAGAGAAAGAGAGGAAAAATAAATAATTCGTATGGAATCGATTTTTGAGGTGAGAGGAGATAACGAAATCAATTTTTTTTTGCGTGGCAGCTTGATTTGATCTTTTTTTTTGAACGAAACTTTCCAACACTATTTCATTGTCTTTTTTTAATGCCCCACCGTGCCTACGCGTAAATGTCTCCGGGCATTTAGATAATTTTTTCATTTTTTGAAATTGTTTTCACGCAATTTTCCGTAGTAAGACCTTGATGAGAAAAATAGTGAATTGAATGTTTGAAAAAAATACTTCCGCTTTCCTGCATAAAAAAAACAGCTAAAGCATGCATTGTGTTTTTGGGAGGTGAATTTCTGTGGTAGATAAATAATAATCAAAGTATAATTATATTTACCTGTAACATAAAACAAGCTTTGAAAATCTGTAACTATCACAGATATTGTAAAAGAAAACTAAATAACGATACACGGTGCAAAGTTTTAGCTTTTTTCTCCCAAAATTTAAGATTTTTACCTGTGTATTTTTTCTGTTGTATAAAGCACATCGCTTCCGCTAGTCCCTATAAAAAGAAATAAATGCAAACTACTGAGTAGTAAATTTAACATTGTAATTTATTTATAGAGTTGAAATTAATTTCGACGATAAATTAATTTTAGTTTTTAATTAAATAAACTTAATCTAAAATAATGTTTTTTGTATATTTTAAAGGAGAACATTCACGAGATAAATTGATTTATGGAGAAGAAATATTTCATAATGTTTTTTTTTCTTAAGGTTTGTTAACTTTTTTGCGTAAAATAACAAATCCTTCCATAATACTCGAGAGAGGTTCATATTCATCGGCTACAAGTTCGGCTCTTTCGCCGACGGACATTAATACCGGAGTTGTGTGAACGTGACCACCAGCGATGCACTTGGGATTCCCGACTTTACCAATTGTGTCCACAGCTTGGCCGACACGAACTGATACTGGAAGAGTCTGAATCAATTTCTTTTTTTGATTATTTTTATTTTATTGGTACGTTCTTTTTATTAAAATAATTCTTTCTTTATAGAAATTTAAATTCTACAAATTTTTTATTTCTGTATTTTAAGATATGTAATTATTTTTGGTACTGAAAGTTTTTTTCTGGGCAAAAATATATTCAATAACACGATTTATAAAAATGAATATTTTTATTAATATAAATTATTAATTAATGAAACGATCATGTAGAAATTTTTATTTTTTGAGATTAGCTTGAATCTCTGGTAAATTCTTGTATTTAAATTTAAAAGTAATAAAATCCGAAAATATCAACTTTTTTTAAAATAAGTTGTATAAATTATGGGGATTACAGTTATGTTAATTAACTAATTTATTAAAATTGTTAATTTCAAATTTGTGCAATTTCGAAAAAATTTGACAAATTTTATTTTTTATAATTTTAATCAATTTTAAAGGACTTTTTGTCTATTTATACAAAATACTGACTTTATGGACCAATTGCTGACAAAATAAAAATCAGTCAAATAAAAGAACATTTTACTTAAAACTATATAAATTAAATTTTTCATAACTATAAAACATGAAGAAATCGATAATCGGAGTTATCAATTTCTTCATGTTTTATAAACTAAAAATGTCCAAGTGAGAAAATCATTATCAATTCAATTATTATTTTCAAGAATTTGTAACTAAAATTCTTCTTAAAATCGATTATTTTTAATAATTTTCGAAAAAGTTCTTTGACAATTTTCAAATCCATTTGTTTACAATATTCAATTTTACGAAATTTCAATTATTCGTAAATTCTTCAATTAAATATATATTAGAAAATAAAAACTTCATATAAATTTAAAAAAAAATCCGCAATTAAAGTTTCTCAAAAAAATTAATTCCACAGAATTTTTATAGTTAAAAATATGAGAAATTAAAATTTTCAAAGATTTTAATCTGAAACCTTTTTAAAATTCAATTACTTTTAAAAATTTACGCTGTGATGCTTTTAATATTCAAATATAATCTAAAATTTAAACTGAAATACATTTTTAAATCAATTTTTATGAGAAAATTCTACTAGAATACAAAAATACAAAAAAAAATAATTTATTGAATAATTGCACGTTTCTTAAAATTGAATTCTCATAAAGAATTATATCAATAAATTTTTAAATAATTGAATTTCTTTGCTGAATTTTAATAAAATTTTTAAGAATAATTACATTTTTTCGATGAATTCGATTAAAATTGTATTAAAAATAATTGAAATTCTGCAATGAGTTTTATTATTTATGAAAATAATTAAATTCCTAATAAGAATTTTATTATTTACCAAAATAATTGAATCCCTGCGAAAATTTTATTATTTATGAAAATAATTGAATGGTTGCGAAGAAATTTATAAAAAAAATTTTTAAATAATGAAAATAATTAAAGGTTTGTGTAGAATTTAATTAATTATTTTTTTTAAATAATGGAATTCTTTTGGAAAATTTTATTAGAATAGTAGATACCTATTAAAAATCATTCAATTGAGGAAATTTTTTGAAAATAATTGAAATTTTGACAATTTTATTAAAATTTTTGAAAAGAATTGAATTTTGGAAAATAATCTAATTATTTATAAAGATAATTGAAATTTTGACGATAATTTTTAAAAAATTTTTAACATAATTGGATTTTTGCGAAGAATTTTCTTAATTTTGGAAATAAAAAATTTAAAAAAGAAAAATAATAATTTTTATTACTATTTTTAAAAAACTTGTTGTTGAATATATTTTTGTTCAAAAATAGTATTTAAAATGAGATCATTTAGTAAATTTATTAGGTTTGCAGGTAAAATTTAGAAATTATTAAACTTTTTCTTACTTAAATTAATTTAATTTGTTGCAATTATTTAAGTTATAGAACAAATTTCTCTGTTCAAAAATTTAAATATAATAATTTTTTAACATTTCAATTTTTTTCGAATAACTACAATTTTGGTAATTAGAATTATTTTTAATTTCGTAATTATTTTGTAAATGATATTATCAAATAGTTTTCCCAGGACAAAAGTAAGTTGAACAGTAATAATAGTAATAATAAAATTTATCGGATTTTTTGAAAGTCGTTTCATTATTCGTCATAAACGAATATAACTTTAAATTTCATAAAGTCGGAATGAAGATTCCAATTTGAATGTGACTTGAAATTTAGATTTGGAGACGTTCTAAAAATCCCTAAATAACTAGTTTTAAGGGAATTTGGTAAAGTTTTAAAAAAAATTATTGACAAATTGAATTCGCCATTTAGAATTTAGAAAACCTGGTGTCAGATTTGTAATTAGTCATCTCGAAATTTGTTAAAGATTTTTTAAACTTTACAATTTTAAATAATTAAAAATTTAATTTTAATTAGTTTTTAGTTATGTTATATAATAATTATTTTTTGTGAGGAATTCAATGGTCATAAAATAAAATCAATCAGAAAATATTTATTAGAATTTATTATTATTTATTAGAAAATCTATTTTTGAATCCATAAAAAAATTGCCAAATAAAATAATTCATTTTCATGATTTTCGAAACATTTTTTTTAAACTGAAAATACTAAAAAATACCATTGTTATTCAATTTTTGTATAGGTATGGAAATTCATTTGTTTATTTTCCTAATTTAGTTAAAAAAAAATATAAAGAAGTTGAATAATAATAGTATTTTTTTAGTATTTTCAGCCTAAAACAAAGATTTTTTTTCAAAAAAATGCTTTAAAAATTATGAAAATCAATTTTTCATTTGGTAATTTTTTTGTGGATTTAATTTCTACAAAATTATGCCAGGATTTCAAAATCTACCAATTTTGAATAAAAATAAAAATTCAAAAAAGATCAAAATATTTTCTGACCAATTTTATTTAATGACTATTGAATTCTCCACAAAAAATTACTTACTTTAAAAATAATTTTGTGGAATATTTAAAATTATTTTCTGGACATAGTTAAAAAATAACGGTGATAAAAATTACTTAAATTAAAATGGTTCCAAACTGTTTAGAAAAATAAGTGCAATATAACATTTTCACTCGCTTGCACGTGAATAATTTTGCTAGTTTATAATAATTTTTTTCATGATAAAATTTCTGTATAATAAACAACATTGATTTATGCAAAAATAAAAATGTTTCAAAGGGTTTTAAAAATATTTTAAAACTGTTAAAAATAGTAGGTATAAGTACTTTTAATATTTCGAAAGCATAAAAATTGTTTTTAGAGCATTTTGAAATTATAAAAAAATACTCACATTGGAAATGATTTTTTTAATTTAGAATAAAATAGATTAGAATGTCAATTACTATAGAGGATTTTAAATTGAAAATCGCACCTTTAAATCCTCGTCGAGGGTGATAATCCATCGGGGTTCAATCGCAGTAGCCAAACAGTACAGCAAGTAATGCGATTTGCTTAAAATTAGATTTCTGCAGTCCAAAAAGGCGACGAAAACAACCATTAATCCAGCCAGTGCCGTGTAATCCAAAACTTTAGAAGCAAATCTCAAAGGACACAAAGATAATGTTCCCTGAAAGAAACAAATAAAATGTACCAAAGAAAATTAGTTTTCCCAAAAGTCTCGTAAAATTTATCTTCATTGTTAACTTTTAAAAGTATCAAATTGCAACGAATTGATACCAAAAAAGTGTATCTCAAATCAAAAATTGATCCAAATTATTTTAGGCATCAATTTGATTCGCTTTAGTGTGAATATTTGATACATTTCATAAAATTGTGATTGTAAATTAGCATTTTTATTGAAAATTTGAAAAAAAGGAATAATTTTGCTGGGAATTAATTAATTTTACTTTTCCAAGATGAATGAGTCCTTGGGATATGCGAACCAAAAATAGATGATTAGAATTTTTCGCATGATAGGCAGCAAGTTGTCGCAACATTGTCGCTAATCGGGCATTATTCGTTCCAGCGCCGACGAGACCTAGTCCAAATATTGCGTTTAATGACACTTCTGAATCGTTATCGTGACTGTATTTGTTTAATACGTCGACTAATGCTGGATCGGGATTCGATATTGATGACAAAGCCAGAGCAAGGGGAACGGCTCTTCGTGCCTGAGGAGGTCCATACCTTCCAACCTGTTCCAAATTATTATTATTATTCTTATTCTTATTATAAATTTCCTTCAATTTATTATTTTTCTTCATTATGAAATGTTTGCAAAAAATTTTATTTTTTACCATTTCAGAATAATTCACACAGTTTTTTAATAAATTATATTATTTTGTACTAGCAAATGTTACGAGCGCGAAACATGATATTCAATTTATTATTATTATGGAAATAAGAAAATTTTGTATTTTCAAATATAAACTTCAATTTTTGAATAATTTTAGATTCAAAATTCAAAAAATTAACTTATTAAGTAGATAACAAATTATTAAAATTGTTTATTACTTTCAAAAATTTTAATAAAATTCTTAGCAAGAATTCAATTATTTTTTATAAATAATAACATTCATCGGAACAATACATTATAGGTAATAATCGTAAGTTTCCTTTCCGTTAGCAAATTATCTGCATTCATTTGTTTGTTTTGAAAATTTAATTTTGTGGGTTAAGTATTGGCATTTTTTATATATTTTTTAATGTCAAACTTTTTAATGTGGAAAATACTTTACTTATTAAATTGTCTCCACTCTTTGGTAAAAAATCTAAAATTATCAAAAATTCGAAAAAATTCAAAAATCCGATTTTCTTAAAATTCAACATTTTTTCTTCTTTTTTATGGGATTTAGCTTCATTATTTTTGTGCTTTTGGAAAATACTTTACATATTTAATAGTCTCGACTCTTTGGTAAAAAATCTAAAATTATTAAAAATTATCAAAAATCCGAAAAATTGAATTTCTTAAAACTCAACATTTTTTCTTCTCTTTTATGGGATTTAGATTCATTATTTTTGTGCTTTTGGAAAATACATTACTTATTAAATTGTCTTGACTCTTTGGTAACAAATCTAAAATTATCGAAAATTATCAAAAATTCAAAAATCCGATTTTCTTAAAATTCAACATTTTTTCTTCTCTTTTATAGCATTTAGCTTCATTATTTTTGTGCTTTTGGAAAATACTTTACTTATTAAATTGTCTCGAGTCTTTGGTAAAAAATCTAAAATTATTAAAAATTATCAAAAATCCGAAAAATTGAATTTCTTAAAATTCAACATTTTTTCTTCTCTTTTATGGGATTTAGATTCATTATTTTTGTGCTTTTGGAAAATACTTTACTTATTAAATTGTCACGACTCTTTGGAAAAAAATAAAAAATTATTAAAAATTATCAAAAATCCGAAAAATCAAATTTCTTAAAATTCAACATTTTTTCCTCTCTTTTATAGGATTTAGCTTAATTATTTTTGTGCTTTTGGAAAATACTTTACTTATTAAATTGTCTCGACTCTTTGGTAAAAAATATAAAATTATCGAAAATTATCAAAAATTCAAAAATCCGAATTTCTTAAAATTCAACATTTTTTTCTCTCTTTTATAGGATTTAGCTTAATTATTTTTGTGCTTTTGGAAAATACTTTACTTATTAAATTGTCTCGACTCATTGGTAAAAAATCAAAAATTATTAAAAATTATCAAAAATCCGAAAAATCAAATTTCTTAAAATTCAACATTTTTTCTTCTCTTTTATGGGATTTAGCTTCATTATTTTTGTGCTTTTGGAAAATACTTTACTTATTAAATAGTCTCGACTCTTTGGTAAAAAATCTAAAATTATCGAAAATTATCAAAAATTCAAAAATCCGAATTTCTTAAAATTCAACATTTTTTCCTCTCTTTTATAGGAATTAGCTTCATTATTTTTGTGCTTTTGGAAAATACTTTAGTTATTAAATTGTCTCGACTCTTTGATAAAAAATCAAAAATTATTAAAAATTATCAAAAATCCGAAAAATCAAATTTCTTAAAATTCAACATTTTTTCCTCTCTTTTATAGGATTTAGCTTAATTATTTTTGTGCTTTTGGAAAATACTTTACTTATTAAATTGTCTCGACTCTTTGGTAAAAAATATAAAATTATCGAAAATTATCAAAAATTCAAAAATCCGAATTTCTTAAAATTCAACATTTTTTCCTCTCTTTTATAGGATTTAGCTTCATTATTTTTGTGCTTTTGGAAAATACTTTACTTATTAAATTGTCTCGACTCTTTGGTAAAAAATCAAAAATTATTAAAATTTATCAAAAATCCGAAAAATCAAATTTCTTAAAATTCAACATTTTTTCTTCTCTTTTATGGGATTTAGCTTCATTATTTTTGTGCTTTTGGAAAATACTTTACTTATTAAATTGTCTCGACTCTTTGGTAAAAAATCTAAAATTATCAAAAATTATCAAAAATCCGAAAAATCAAATTTCTTAAAATTCAACATTTTTTCTTCTCTTTTATGGGATTTAGCTTCATTATTTTTGTGCTTTTGGAAAATACTTTACTTATTAAATTGTCTCGACTCTTTGGTAAAAAATCTAAAATTATCAAAAATTATCAAAAATTCAAAAATCCGATTTTCTTAAAATTCAACATTTTTTCTTCTCTTTTATGGGATTTAGATTCATTATTTTTGTGCTTTTGGAAAATACTTTACTTATTAAATTGTCTTGACTCTTTGGTAACAAATCTAAAATTATCGAAAATTATCAAAAATTCAAAAATCCGATTTTCTTAAAATTCAACATTTTTTCTTCTCTTTTATGGCATTTAGCTTCATTATTTTTGTGCTTTTGGAAAATACTTTACTTATTAAATTGTCTCGACTCTTTGGTAACAAATCTAAAATTATCAAAAATTCGAAAAAATTCAAAAATCCGATTTTCTTAAAATTCAACATTTTTTCTTCTTTTTTATGGGATTTAGCTTCATTATTTTTGTGCTTTTGGAAAATACTTTTCTTATTAAATTGTCTCGACTCTTTGGTAAAACATCTAAAATTATCGAAAATTATCAAAAATTCAAAAATCCGAATTTCTTAAAATTCAACATTTTTTCCTCTCTTTTATAGGAATTAGCTTCATTATTTTTGTGCTTTTGGAAAATACTTTAGTTATTAAATTGTCTCGAGTCTTTGGTAAAAAATCTAAAATTATTAAAAATTATCAAAAATCCGAAAAATTGAATTTCTTAAAATTCAACATTTTTTCTTCTCTTTTATGGGATTTAGATTCATTATTTTTGTGCTTTTGGAAAATACTTTACATATTTAATAGTCTCGACTCTTTGGTAAAAAATCTAAAATTATCAAAAATCCGTTTTTCTTAAATTTTAACATTTTTTCTTCTCTTTTATAGAATTTAGCTTCATTATTTTTGTGCTTTTGGAAAATACTTTACTTATTTAATAGTCTCGACTCTTTGGTGAAAAATCTAAAATTATCAAAAATTCGAAAAAATTCAAAAATCCGATTTTCTTAAAATTCAACATTTTTTCTTCTTTTTTATGGGATTTAGCTTCATTATTTTTGTGCTTTTGGAAAATACTTTTCTTATTAAATTGTCTCGACTCTTTGGTAACAAATCTAAAATTATCGAAAATTATCAAAAATTCAAAAATCCGATTTTCTTAAAATTCAACATTTTTTCTTCTCTTTTATGGCATTTAGCTTCATTATTTTTGTGCTTTTGGAAAATACTTTACTTATTAAATTGTCTCGACTCTTTGGTAACAAATCTAAAATTATCAAAAATTCGAAAAAATTCAAAAATCCGATTTTCTTAAAATTCAACATTTTTTCTTCTTTTTTATGGGATTTAGCTTCATTATTTTTGTGCTTTTGGAAAATACTTTACTTATTAAATTGTTTCGACTCTTTGGTAAAACATCTAAAATTATCGAAAATTATCAAAAATTCAAAAATCCGAATTTCTTAAAATTCAACATTTTTTCCTCTCTTTTATAGGAATTAGCTTCATTATTTTTGTGCTTTTGGAAAATACTTTAGTTATTAAATTGTCTCGACTCTTTGGTAAAAAATCAAAAATTATTAAAAATTATCAAAAATCCGAAAAATCAAATTTCTTAAAATTCAACATTTTTTCCTCTCTTTTATAGGAATTAGCTTCATTATTTTTGTGCTTTTGGAAAATACTTTAGTTATTAAATTGTCTCGACTCTTTGATAAAAAATCAAAAATTATTAAAAATTATCAAAAATCCGAAAAATCAAATTTCTTAAAATTCAACATTTTTTCCTCTCTTTTATAGGATTTAGCTTAATTATTTTTGTGCTTTTGGAAAATACTTTACTTATTAAATTGTCTCGACTCTTTGGTAAAAAATATAAAATTATCGAAAATTATCAAAAATTCAAAAATCCGAATTTCTTAAAATTCAACATTTTTTCCTCTCTTTTATAGGATTTAGCTTCATTATTTTTGTGCTTTTGGAAAATACTTTACTTATTAAATTGTCTCGACTCTTTGGTAAAAAATCAAAAATTATTAAAAATTATCAAAAATCCGAAAAATCAAATTTCTTAAAATTCAACATTTTTTCTTCTCTTTTATGGGATTTAGCTTCATTATTTTTGTGCTTTTGGAAAATACTTTACTTATTAAATTGTCTCGACTCTTTGGTAAAAAATCTAAAATTATCGAAAATTATCAAAAATTCAAAAATCCGATTTTCTTAAAATTCAACATTTTTTCTTCTCTTTTATGAGATTTAGATTCATTATTTTTGTGCTTTTGGAAAATACTTTACTTATTAAATTGTCTTGACTCTTTGGTAAAAAATCTAAAATTATCGAAAATTATCAAAAATTCAAAAATCCGATTTTCTTAAAATTCAACATTTTTTCTTCTCTTTTATGGGATTTAGATTCATTATTTTTGTGCTTTTGGAAAATACTTTACTTATTAAATTGTCTCGACTCTTTGGTAACAAATCTAAAATTATCAAAAATTCGAAAAAATTCAAAAATCCGAATTTCTTAAAATTCAACATTTTTTCCTCTCTTTTATAGGAATTAGCTTCATTATTTTTGTGCTTTTGGAAAATACTTTAGTTATTAAATTGTCTCGACTCTTTGGTAAAAAATCAAAAATTATTAAAAATTATCAAAAATCCGAAAAATCAAATTTCTTAAAATTCAACATTTTTTCCTCTCTTTTATAGGATTTAGCTTTATTATTTTTGTGCTTTTGGAAAATACTTTACTTATTAAATTGTCTCGACTCTTTGGTAAAAAATATAAAATTATCAAAAATTCGAAAAATTTCAAAAATCCGTTTTTCTTAAAATTCAACATTTTTTCCTCTCTTTTATGCCATTTAGCTTTATTATTATTTGAATTTTTATTCAAGAGAAAAAATGAAAAACTGAAAAAATTTAGAAGCCTTTTAAAAATTCCATACTATTTCCATGATTTCCATGATTTCCAGATTCTGTAGGAACCCTGCTTTTGTCTGACTTTCTTCTAAATTATCGTATTCAGTGATTTCTGGGGTGAATTTGGTTAAGTTGTAAAATGACTAATTTCTTATTGAATTCGTTTTTTTTGAATGTAGAAAATCTGATGTTAATTTCATTCTTTTTTCGTTATGCACGGCAAAAAATATTTAGCTGGATGAACTACAGATTTCACTTTAGTATAGCGAAATTTTTCAGTGCTTCAATTAATACTTTCCTTATTCTAGAGAAACTTATCGCTATTTCAAGTAAAACTTTTTTCATTGTGTAATAATTATTATTTCTTTGAAAAGTATTTAATTTAAAATGGCTTTATAAAATAAGCAATGCAAAAGATGACCCAGATACTAATTGTAATTGTTCTAGCCATAGTTTAAGTCTAGTAATGTAAATTCTATTTAAATTGAGACCATTGAGTGAAATTATTTAAATTTTAGTTAGTTAAATCTCTTTGTTATGTAGGTTATAATAATTATTTCTTTAAAATTTTTTAAATTGTTTAAAATAAGCAGCCCCATACAACATTCCCGCGCGCTTGCGCGCGGATAGTTTGGCTAGTTTAATTATGTTTATAAATAGCATAATTATTTGCAGAAATTCAATTATTTTTATAAATAATAACATTCATCGGAAAAAATTCAATTTATAGTAAAATTTTTTGCAGAAATTTAATTATTTTTATAAATATAGAAAAATTGTTTGCAAGAATTGAATTAGGTATTTTTATAACTAATAAAATTCGTCCCAGGAATTCAATTATTTTTAATACAATTTTAATAAAATTTAATAATCAAATTTTTTATTATAATATTATTAACAGACGGGATTTTTTAAAAAGTTGGAAAAAAATTCTTTGATTAATTCAACTATTTTCAATTAAAATTATTCAAAAAACTACATTTTTATCAAAAAACTGGAAGAAATTTTTCAAAGAATTTAATTATTTACAAAAACTCGATAATAAAATTATTTAAAAGAATTAAATTTTTTATCAACATTTTTAATAAAATTTAATAGTAAAATTATTAATTTCAATTGTTAACAAAGACGATTATTTTAAAAACAGTGAAATTTTTCGCAAGAATTAAATTACTTTTATAAATAATAAAATTCTTCTTAGTAATTTAATGATTTTCAATACAATCTTAATAAAATTCAATAATCAAATTTTCAATTCTAATTATTAACAAACATGATTATTTTAAATATTTGAAAAAAATTCTTTGTTTAATTTAATTATTTTCAAAAATTTTAATTTCAATCTACTTATTAAAAACACTTAAAGAAATTTTTCAAAGAATTTAATTATTTACACAAACTAATAAAATTGTTTAAATGAATTCAATTTTCTATGAATAGTTTTATTAAAAGTTAATTACAATTATTGACAAAATCGATTAGGTATATTTAAATAATTAAAAAAATTTGTTGAAAGAATTTATTTACCTAATATTGTCAAAACATTTATCATTTAATAGTATGTATTAATTTTTCGCAATAATTGAATTATTTTCTTAAATAATAACATAATTCTTTGTAAGAATTCAATTATTTTTATAAATAATACATTTTTTTGCAAAAATTCAATTACTTTTATAAATAATAAAATTATTTGCAAAAATTCAATTATTTTTAAATAAAATTTTAATAAAATTTCAAGAACGAATACAATTTATTTTCTAAAATTTGAATAAATCCTTCAAAAAAATTCAATTTTATTTATAAGTAATAGTAAAATTATTCGCAAAAATTGAATTATTTTTAATACAATTTTATAATAACGTTTCATGAAAGAATTCAATTTTTCAACAATTTTAAATAATATTTTACGAAAAAATTCAATTATTTTAAAAATTTTTAATTAAAATTATTCAAAAAACTCCATTATTTTCAAAAAATTTAAAGAAATTTTTCAAAAGAATTTAATTTGAGTTTTCAAAAATTTTAATAAAATTCTTCGCAATAATTCAATTATTTTCAATTTTTTTTGATAACATCCTTTGCAAGAATTCAACTAATTTTAATATTGAAGAAATCTAAAAATGAAAATGATTAAAAAGGAAGGAAACAAAAAAGCAAATAAAAATTAACTTCATACAGATTACCGGAATACAACGATATAGAAGCTAAAAGATTTTTATCATTTTTAGTTGTTTTAAATTTTTAATGAAACTAATTTTCATTTATTCAAATTATTATTTGCTCCAGGTTTTATTAATTATGTTTAATTTACATCGAAGTTTCACAGTTTTTCAATGAATTGTGAATTTTTTGAATAATAGAATAGAATTCATTTCTTGGAGCTATACAAATTTTGATATACATTTTTTATTCAATTTATCAAGTTTATTTTTTTGGAATTTGTAATGAAACCAGTTTTAATTTTTTTTAAAAGTTATCTATTGCTTCGAGTTTTAATAATTATGAATTAATTTTCAATTAAATTATGGCTAATTTAAACTCTAGGTTCATTTTATAACAAATTCTCCACTTTTATGAACTTTTAATTGTTATGATTTTTTCTCTTTGTAATTTTTATTACATTTTTTTTAATTAATTACAAGGCAATTTCAGGATATAAAAAGTCAGAAATAACTAAATAATAAATTAAAAATTGTTTCAAATTACCGTAAGTGAGGCTAAATTCGCTCATGTAGGGTAAATTCGCTCAACCGATGTCTCTTTTTAAAATTCGATTAACATACTTTTTAGACAGAAATATTTAAGATTTACAATTGTTTTGGTTAATATAAATGGTAAACTTTAATTTAAAATTTATTTGCAGCAAATTCATTGGTAACTTTCAGTAGAAATTATATTTAAAACACAAGTGAATAATTTTCATATTGAACAAGTAGTATGAAAAAGTAGGAAATAAAGCTTTACTTCAAAGTTTTTAAGTTGAATACTTCTGAACAATACATTTCCTGTATCTCCAACATGATTTTCATAAAGCACAAAAATTAAAGCAATAAACAGATTCTGCAAAAAATCAATTTAAAAAAAATTCAAATTTGTTGTGTAAATTCGCTCAGGAAATAAGTCTACAAAAAAGATGTTTGGGCCTGGATATTTTAAGTATGTTAATTACTATAATTTATAATTCGATTTTTTTAAATAATAGTACTCTTATAACTGAAAATTAAACGATTTAAAACGGTTTAAGCACTAAACTGTCAAACTTAACCTTGTTTTTTATGGTTATGAGTACGTTTGATTGAATGATTGAATCTAATTACTTATTGATAAAACAATATTAAATATTTATTCCAATAACTTTGTATATTGTTCTTAATTTTTTTCTTTATTGATTCTAAAGAATATTTAGTTTCATTTTTGTAGATTATAATATATTTTGCCAGAATAATAATGGTGAGCGAATTTACCCATCATTTAAAGGTAAAGTCGCTCACAAAAAAACGGCTTATAAATAATTTTCTGCAACATATTTTAATTTCTTTATGCAGTAATAGGAAAGATAAAGGGTTAAAGATTATATATTTTCAGTGCCAATGTTTATTTTTATCGTTTCCCGAAGTTATTTAAAAAAGAATTGAAAAATTGAGCGAATTTAGCCTCACTTACGGTATTATTGAAACTTTTGTGTTTTTTTGACGATCTTTTTATCAAAAAAAAAAAAAATGAAAATTGAAAAAATTTTTTTTGTCAAAAAAATACAACAAAAATTAAATTCGATGTGATTTTTATTTTGAACTTTCGATAAGATAGAAATTATGTGAAACAGAAATTCGGAAATTTATCAAGACCTCATTTATTTTATTCATATTTCCATTCATATAATTATGATAATTTCCTTTCGTTCAAAAATGAAAATGAATAAAATCTGAGGTTGACTTACTTGTCCAAATATTCTTGAATTTTCTTTCCCCTCGGCTAAACCGACAACTCCAACTCCCAGTGAAGCAATGGCTTGAGAAAGACCAATGAACCTGAAAATTAAATTTTCAATTAAATTCTCCTTCTTTTTTTGTATATAAATTTTTTGAATTTTACTTTTGAAAATTAATCTTTTCAAGAAGATGTGTAAGTTAGTTTGTTTACGATGAAGTCTCTTCTTTATTGGTTTCAGAGGAAGTTTTGCTTTTCGAAGAATTACTATTGTCATTGCTTCCTTGAAAGTTGAGACTCAAAGGGAGAGTGGGCGCATTACAGCAATTATCCGGTGTTACACTGTTTGTCGATTTTGTCGAAAGTTTATCAGTTCCCACTGGTTCCGAGCAAATTTGCAATAATTCCTGAACTATCAATACATCACCAGTACCGGCGTATGAGCAAACCTATTTAATAAATTAAAAATAATCATTTTTTTTTAAATTCGATTTTTAGTAAGTACATTTTATCACGACAATAAAATCGCTTTTTGTGTAATTTTCTGCAATTTTTAAAATGCATTTTTAAAAAATTCTTTCACTACACTGTAAAAAAAAGTGCTATACATTAGCGCTGTTTTCGGTATTAAAAATTTAAAATAGAACAAAATTATGATTTTGTACTAAAATTGGTACTACAGAGTTGCGACAAAAATTTAATTTTGTTTTTTCCTAATTCACAGACAAATTTTTGACTTTTTCCCTGACTCTAAAGAATATTCTGATTCACTCTAAAAAAAATGTTCTATTAAATTTAATTACGAATTTCTTCAATTGTAAAATTATTCGAAAACTTTAATAACTTCTTTTTCAAATAAATATTTAATCACTATTATATTTCCATAGAAATTAAGATTTTTTTCAAAAATTTCAAATTCAAATCTTTTAAAATTCAATAACTTCAAAAAGTTTCTATTTGGAATTTTATAAAATTTCAATTTTGAATGAATTTACTTAGAAATTTTTAAGAACTTATATTTTTGAAAAATTTTAATAATTCAAATTCTTCTAAAATTAGTTACATTTCTAAATATATATTTAAATAAACATTAAAAATAATGGATTCAGAAAACAATTTTAGTTAAAAATACCAAATTCTTCACAGAAATTTAATTATGTTCAAAAACTTTTTAAACATTTCTCGTCAAAAATTTCAATTATCTTTATATTTAATAAAATTCTTCTCCGAAATTCAATTATTTTCAAAAAATTTTAATAAATTTCTTCTCAAGAATTTAATTATTTTTACAAGTAATACAATTTTTCACATTATTTCAATTATTTAAAAAAGTGTAATAAAGTTTTTTTTGTTAAGAATTCAATTATTTTCATAAATAAATAATATTTTTAATATAATTTAAGTAAATTCTTCGAAAAATGTAAAAGTTTTAAAAAACTTTATTAAAATTCTTCAAATGATTATCAATTATCAATTATTATTTTTAATAATTTTTCCAAAAGTTTCTTGAGAATTTTCAAATTTATAATTTAAAGGAAGAAGTTAACAATCTATCTTCCTTTAAATTAAAAATGAATTCCGAATGATAAATTCCTTTCCTTAAATTTTCAAATTTATTTGTTTACAATTCAGTTTTATGGAATTTTAAATATTCGGAAATTTTTCAATTAAATATATATTATAAAATAGAAAATTCAAATAATTTTTAAAAAATTAATTCTACAGAATTGTTAGTCAAAAGTATGAAAAATTCTAATTTTCAAAGATTTTAATTTGAAACCTTTTCAAAATTCAATTATTTTTAAAACTGAAATTCATTTTTAAATTAATTTTTATTAGAAAATTCTACGAGAATTTAATTATTTAATTACAAAAATAAATAATTTACTGAATAATTTAATGTTTCTGAAAATTAATTTCTCGCATAAGGAATTTTATCAACAAATTTTTAAATAATTGAATTATTTTGACAAATTTTAATAAAATTTTTAAGAATAATTCTTCTTTTGAGGAATTCAATTATAATTGTATTAAAATTAAATGAAATTCTGCGATGAGTTTTATTATTTATGAAAATAATTGAATTTTTAAATTTTTATTATTTATGAAAAAAATTAAATTTTTGCGTAGAATTTTGTTACAATTTTTTTTTTTAATAATTGAATTTCTTAAGGATCATTTTATTAAAATTGTAGATATTGAAAATCATTGAATTGAGGAAAATCTTTTGAAAATGATTTAAGTTTTGCCAAAAATTTTGAAAATAATTGAAATTCGGAGAAGAATTCTATTGTTTATAAAGAAAATTAAAATTTTTATGAAAATTTTTAAAAATTTTTGAACATAATTGAATTTCTACAAAGAATTTTGTGGATAGTTCTTGAAGAATTAAGTCATTTAAAAAGAAATTATTGTCAGAAATATAAAAAATTGCAGGTTTTGTATTAGAATTCGTAGTAAGTTCATAGTTTATGAGGCAAACAAAAAATACACCAGAATTTAGAATTTTCTTATGAATTTCAAAAATTAAATTTTTTTAGCATTTTTAATTAAAAAAAAAAAAAAATTTTTTTTTAAATCCTTGACTTTTCCCTGATTTCTATGACCTGTGGTAACCCTCTACGAAATTAGTACTTTTTTTAGTGTATATTGTCTGTAAATAAATTATATTAAAATTAAAAATACTTGAAGCATTGTTTGTGAAGCTAATTTGTAAGGTTCTGGTAAAACTTCAAGAGCCGCTGAAAGTGTTTCAATGGCATCGCGACGACCCATGTAAATTAATCCCAAAGACAGTGGAAGAAATCTGGAAAATTCAACACAAAAGATAATAAAATTGTAAAAAACTTTTTCTTCTCAAATATCAGGGTATTCGAACCTGGAGTGTGTGTCTGATAATTCTTGAGGTGTAGATTCCAAGAGTTTTTGGAGAATTGTCGAAGAAGCTTCGGAATTAGTCGAGCCAACATTTATTAAACCCAATGAAATAGCGGCAAGTGATACAATTTCCCTAGAACCTATAATGGAAAAAATAAAAAATAAATTAAATAATAACACGAGTTCAGATTAAATTTGTTTAAATCAATTGATTAATTGATTAATAATAAATTGATAATAAATTAATAATTAATTGATTAAGATTAATAATTAATTGATTAATCAAATGATTAATTTTTAAATAAAAAAATTTAATAATAATGGTATTTTTAACATTTTCAGCCTAAGAATAAAGTTTTCATTCAAAAATCTGCTTTAAAAATTATGAAAATCGATTTTTTTATTTATCAATTTTTTTGTGGATTCAAAAACATTTTCTACAAAATTACGCATAGATTTCAAAATCTACCAATGTTTAAGAAAAATTAAAATTCAAAAAGGGTCACAATATTTTTCGTCCCCTTTTATTGTATGATTATTATTGAATTCGTCAAAAAATTACCTTAAAAATAATTTTATGGAATATTTAAGTTATTTTCTTGATACAGTAAAAAATATCGGTGTACCCTCCCCTTAATTGAATATCCTTACGGAATATACTTGAAGAATATTAAAGAAATCTTCGTAAAGAATATTATTCGAAAATTTAAAGAATATTCTTGAAAAATATTTCCTGAATGAATACACTTATTGAAGTACTGGAAATTGGACAAATTACTTTTGCAAAATTATTCTGTGCTTTGTGCATTTTTACTTTTAAAAAAAAAACCTCTTTTTTTTGCTAATTTAATAATTAGATGAATAAATAGAAGATATAAAATTACTTTGCCTGTCCAGTAATACATTGATCATTAATTGCGAAACGTCTGATCTTTGGGAGCCAGCGTAAGCTAATCCAAGACCCAAAACGGCACCAATTCGCAATTTTTGATTTTGATTCATCACATATTCGTTGAGGAGTGCCAAGGCTGGATCACATTCATTACGAACGCCACAGTTCACCAAACCAATTGCCAACAGAGCTCCAGATTTGATAAAGTCTTCAGTTGAATAAAGATATCTGTAAAAAATAGATAGTCAAATTTCACTTTTTTCCATTTCACTATTTACGTCCGTTAATTAATTAGTTTTAAAAATTAACTTGTCGATTGGTACGAGTCCTCCATCAACGTCCCACATGTGAATCAAGCCCAAAGAAGCTGTTGCCGACAGCATTCCATGTTCCTTGTCGAAAAAGGTCCAATAATTATTTATAATATTCAAAGAATCTGGTTTTCGTTTATTTATTTATTCTTTTAACAAGAGGTTTATGAATTCGGGGTTGCCACATATCAGGAAATTCAGGGATTTTTATTAAAAGTACTGGGAAAAATTAAATTTTTAGAATTCATAAAAAATATGAATTTTTGAATAATTTCAAATTCAAACTTTAAAAAAATTCAATTATTAACTAATTTACTGATTAATTATTCTTGTTTATTAATTTCAAAAATTTCAATAAAATTCTTCGCGAGAATTCAATTATTTTCATATAAATTTTAAAATTCCTTCCAGGGATTTAATTATTATTTTCATAAATACTAACATTCTTTGTAAGAATTCAAAATTTTAAGAATTAAAATTTTAATGAAATTTCAGGAACGAATATACAATTATTTTCTAAAATTTTAATAAATCCTTCGAAACAATTCAATTATTTATTTAAATCGTGAAATCTTTGCGAAAATTCAATTATTTTCAAAAACATTTCACGAAAGAATTCCATTTTTTTCTTAATTCGTTATAAAATATTTCAAAAAAATTCAATTATTTTCTGAAATTCTAATAAAATTCAATAATTGAATGTTTAATTTCAATTATTAACAAACACGATTATTTTTAAAACTTGAAAAAAATTGTTCATAAAATTATTAAAGAAACTTTATTATTAAAAAAAAAAATTTTTTAATTCTTCAAAAGAAAATAGATTAGAATTTTCAAATATTTTATCAAAATTCTTCCCGAGAATTCAATTATTTTCCTAAATAATAAATTTCTTCGATGGAATTCTATTATTATCAATATTTTCAGATAAAATTCTTTGCAACAATTCGATGATTTTCAATACATTTAATTATAAAATTTTTAAAATTTAAAAAGAACAGTTATTAAAAAATTTAAGAAACAAAGAAGCAAGCAACAACTAACTTTAAACTGCGAACAGATTACCGGCATACAACGATTATTATTAATATAGATAATTTTACTTAAATATTTCGAAATTAATTGAATTTGAAAAGAGTTTCGTTTACAATTTTCATAAATTTTGAGAAATTATAATAATTCAAATTCTTCTAAAATTAGTTAAATTCTTTAATATAATTATATTTAATTAATTATTAAAAAAAATAGATTTTCATAAAAATTTTAGATAAAAACACGAGAAAGAATTGAATTTTTGAGAAGTTACAAATAATTGCAGAAATTCAATTATTTTCAAAAGTAATAAAATTCTTCGATGAAATTCAATTATGTTCAAAAAGTTTTTTAAACTCTCAATTATCTTTAGAAATAATAAAATTTTTTTCAGAAATTTAATTATGTTTCAAACGTTTTAATAAAATTCTTGACAAAATTTCAATTATTTAAAAAAAATCTTTTTTAATAAAATTCTTGGCAAAATTTCAATTATTTAAAAAAAATCTTTTTTAATAAAATTCTTGGCAAAATTTCAATTATTTAAAAAAAATCTTTTTTAATAAAATTCTACGCCAATATTTAATTAATTTTATAAATAATAAAAATTTGAATTCAAGTTTTTTATAATTTCTTTGCAATAATTCAATTGTTTTCATAAATAATAAAATTCTTTTTAGGAATTTAATTATTTTCATAAATGATAAATTTTGAAAATTAATCGAATTTCAAAAAGATTTCAAATGGAAATCTTTGAAATCAGAATTTTTCTTGTGTAAGAAATTACGAATAACTGAAATTTCATAAAATTGAATTTTAAACAAATGAATTTGAAAATTCTCAAAGAATTTTTAAAAAATTATTAAAAATAATAATTGATTAATTTAAAGAATAATTTTATTTAAAAATTGTGGATACAATATAATAAATAATAATTGAATTGAAATGATGAAAATAATTTTGAAGAAAATAAAAAAATTAAAAATTCTTATAATTAAAAAAAATGTAATAGAACAATTTTTTTTCGAGTATCTAATGATTTTTAGAGTGAATCAAAATATTTCTTAGAACCAGGGAAAAAATAAAAACTTTGTCTGGAAATCAGGGAAAAACAAAATTAAATTTTTGTGGCAACCCTGATGATATCAATTTTTTTAAATATTTCCTCTTCGAGTGAGTCGTTCATATTCGAAAAATAAAGTATAAATTTTTAGAATCGAAAAATATTAATTTTGGAAAATTTTCATCAAAAGGTAAATTTTGCATTGTTCTCCTTTAAACTCATTAAAACCATTTTAAGTGGTTATAAAATGGAACTATTTTGGAGTCACATAAAATATTTCATATATTACACTAACAATTTGGGTGACATTTATTAACATGCCACAAGGTTTATGAGTTCTGTTATTATGAATATTTAACTCTGAGCACCTAATCCCAAATTTATTAAAAAATATTTTTAACAAACAATAAATTAACAAGAAAGTAAAATCCTTTGATGAAAAAAAATTTTTTTGAAAAAATGACAGAATTTAACATTTTTTCGTTTTGTTATTCGAGCTAAAAAATTTCCATAAAACGAGAAAAATTTAATACTAATAGAATATAAAAAATATTAATTTATTATAAAAAATATGTTTTAACTTTTAACATAAAAATGTAAATAAATAAATAGATTATTTTTTAGTTATTTTAAAATCCGTACCTTATTTTTGTAAACCCAAGATTCTTCTGGATCGGACATTAATTTATCAACTCCAAATCCAGTGTGCACAAAACCGGAAGCAAAGCTAGCGGCCAAATTTGCCCTCGCCGAATCGTGTTCTATTCGTTTTAAAATTCCTGTTGTTTGCTCCAGCCATGATTTATAAATTTCGTCAGGAAGCTTAGGCTCTAAAATGTCCAATTCGCGAGCCAGCATTTGAAAATGTTCGTTCACATGTCCGTTGCTTATTATCGTCTCAATATCATTAGCTTCTTCACCTTTGTAATCCTTTCTCAATGGTTTGTCCTTGAAAAATAAATCATTTTTCAAAATACTAAAGTTTTTTTTTTATTATTTCATTTTTATTATTTATTTTTAATTTTATTAAACCTGTTGTCTAGCCACAAGAAACGCTAATTGCTTCCTCATTAAAGAATCCGGACAATTTGCAAAACACTCGAAAACTAGATCATAATCTTGAAGTTGCATGGCTATTAATATTGCTTTACAATAATCGGCGAATTTTAAATAATTATTTGCCACTGATTGCAAAATTTTTTGTCGATCAAATTCTTCGCTTCAATAATTAAAATTAAAAGATTTGTTAGTCGTTTAATTACCATTAAATATTTTACGTCCAATTGCAATTAAAATATAATTGATTTTTCAAAAATTTTTAGTCATTCAATTTTTTCAGAAACAAAAATTTTATTATTGTTAAAACTAGAATAACAAGTCCGTGAAATTTTTAGGCTCTTTGTTAGTAACAAAAACTATCTTTTTGAAATTTAATGAAAAGTTATTATTTTTAAAAAAATATAATTTTTCGAAATACAATTCTTCAAAAAATACGATTACATTTCAAAACAATTTTCAAAAGTAATAAAATTAAATTGTGTGAAATGTAAAATGTATTTCAACAATAAAATTTGACAAAACTTCTAATTGTTTCAATTTTTAAATTATTTTCGGGAATTCAATTCTCTTCGAAAAATTATAATCACAATTTTTCAAAAACCTTACTTTTTAGAATTTCTACAATTATTCAAAACTTAAATATTTTTTATCAAAGAATAAATATAAATTTTAAGAAAAAAAATTTTTTTTTTAAAGAAAATGCTTCAAAAATAGTAAAAATAAAAATTCAGAGTCGCCAATTTTATTAGAATTCAACGATAAAATATATTTAATTATACAAAAATTTTTGAAAAATTCAATTTTTTTTTTTGTAAATTTTCAAATTTTTAGTTACAATTTTATTCTTTAAAAAATATAATAATATTTAAAAATAATTGTTTAAAGTGAGAAAATAAAATTCTTTAAAAATATAAAATTTATAAAATTTATTTTAATGAAATTTGAGAAAATTTCCTTTTTTTCAAATTTTTAACATTATTTTCGGAAACACAACTATTTTCAAAAAATGTTTGTATTTTAATTTTTTAAAAACCTCATTTCTTAGAAAAAAAACTAAATTTTTGTCTAATAAATATTTGAATACTTATTTTTATTTATTTTTTCACAAGGATTTAAAGTTTCAAAATACTTTCCAATGTAAAACCTTTTGAAATTTAATGAAAATTTCTAAAAATTAAAACTGCAATATTTAAAAAGCACATTTTTTGTTGAAATTAAAAAAAAATTTAATTAATTATCAATATCTATAACATTTTTGATAGTTTATATATTTTTATAATATTTAAAATTAAAAATATACTCGTCGAAAATAAAGAATATAAAATAATAAATAAAAAAAATAAAATACTATAAAAGAATTACCTGTAAACAGCACAACTTGCGAGATAATTGCAAACTCTTGAGTAATTTGTCGAGTCTAAGTGACTATCCAATAATTCTATTTGATCGATTTCTAAACTGAGATCGCATGCTTGTATTTCCGCATTATCCTTCATATCGAACTTTATTATATTCCTTATCAATGGCATTATATGTTCTCTAAACAAAAAAATTCATTTCTCGTCAAAATTTACTTCAAAATTAACTTTAATCAGAAATCATCGTCTTTTTTTCTCAAATATTAAAATAAAGTAAAATTTATTCTTCAATAAAAGTTTCTAAAGTCGATCTAAAGTTCTAATTGAATTTATAATTGTTTTTTGTAAATAGTGTATAAAAAACTGTTTTTTTCATTTTATTTTTAGTTAATTCAAGAAATGAAAATAAATTTCTCCTTACTTAATGACTTGTTCGTTTTCAATTGGCATATTTGTCCATTCATCAATAATTTCCAATTCCAATCGTCGAACGTATTCGTGACCCCAGTCGCCGGGATCAATCATTGTTCCCTGAAGACAGAAATCTAGACATTCCCTTGACGCGGAAGTGGCACCTGCCAATGCTAAAACACTGAGAATGTCAGCAAAAAGGATTTTAACTTCCCTCGTTATAATCTTGTCATAAATTCTTTTCAAAAGCTCATAAGAGTTTCTTAAGTATTTCAAAGGCTTTGGAACTGATGTCATTGACGTCGTTGAAGTTTGCATCAATTTTTTCAATTGTACCAGAGATGTCATCAATTCATTTTCATTTTTGTTCTTTAATAGAAAAATCAAATTCTATAAAACAGCAATTTTTTTTTAATAAAATCCAGGCTTCGCACTCCTCTACTAAAACCTACTATTTACAACTTTTTTTTTTGTTATGCTACTATTTGGGTAGTTTTTTTTAGATTTCAATCACTAAAAGCTGCTATTTCTGTTTTTTTTTTTTTTTTTTTTTTTTTGAAAATTTCCACTACTTTAAATTCGCTAATATTAGAAATAAAAAAAACTATTCTCAAAAATTATAATCAAATTCTTTAAAACGATTCAAATATTTTCAAAAAATATTTAAAATTCAATTATTTTCAATATTTAGAAAAAAAAATTTTTCGCAAAACAATTCAATTATTTTAAAAAATTGATAAAATTCATCAAAAATTCAAATTATTTTTAAAAAATTAATAAAATTCATCTAAAATTCAATTATTTTCATAAATAATAAAATTTCCACTGGAATGCAATTAATTTATTTATTTGACAAAATTATTATACAATTCTTCACAATAATTCAAATAATTTCACTAATAATAACATTTTTCATGGAAATTCAATTTTTAAAAAAAATTTTTTATAAAATTCTAAGGAAGAATTCAAATATTTTCATGAATAATAAAACTCATCGAAGAATTTCAATTATTTCTAATACTATTTTAAATTAATTAATCAAAAAATTCAATTATTTTCACAAATAAAGTTTTCTACAAGAATTCAATTATTTTCAAAAATACCAAAATTTTTCACACAAATTCAATTCTTTTTAAACATTTTAATAAAATTTTTCGCAATAATTCAATTATTTACATAAATAATAAAATTCTTTTCAGGAATTCAATTATTTTTGAATATTTTAATAAAATTCTTAGCAACTATTCAATTATGTTTCATAAATAATAAAATTTATTGCAGGATTTCAATTATTTTTAATACAACTTTACAGGAATTGCTTAAAAATTGTAATTATATATATTTCTTAAAAATTTAATTTCAATTTCTCGAAAAAATCAATTATTTAAAAAAATATTTTTAAAAATTTTTTGAAAGAATTCAATTATTTATAAAAGAATTAAAATTTTTTAGAGGAATTCAATTATTTTCAATTATTTTAATAAAGTTGTTCGAAAGAATTCAATTATTTTAAATATAATTTTAATTACATTTTTTTGAAATAATCCAATTATTCTTTTAGATTTTAATAAAATTCTTCCCATAAGAATTCAATTATTTACATAAATAATTCTTCGAAAGAATTCAATTATTAAAGATAAATAACAAAATTATTCCCGAAAATTCAATTATTTTGAAGCATTTTAATAAAATTCTTTGCAAAATTCAATTATTTTCATAAATATCAATATTCATCACAAGAATTCAATTATTTTTCAAAGTAATAAATTTTTTCTTGGAAATTCAATTATTTTAAAAAATTCTAAAAAAATCGTTATCAAAAATTCAATTATTTTCAAAAAAAATCTAATAAAATACCACACAGACATTCAATTGTTCTGAAAATTTTTAATAGAATTCTTTGTAAAATTGAATTACTTTTAAAAAACTTTTCGCAATTCAATGATTTTTAATATCTACTATTTTCAAAAAATTTCCAAACAGAATTCAATTATTTAAAAAGTTGTTTTTAAAAATCTTCGTAAGAATTCAATTCTTTTCATGAATATTAAAAATTTCTCAGAAATTCAATTATTTAAATTAGAATTTGCATAAAATTAGTCAGAAGAAATCAATTATTTAATAATTTTTCTAAAATTCTTCGCAAGAATTAAATCATTTTTACAAATATTTAAATTTTTTCATGAATAATAAAATTCGTTGCAGAAATTCAATTTATTTACAGGATAAGAAAGAAGTAAATATTTTTGATAAAAATTAGGAAAAAGTCAGAAAAATAAAAAATATGGAATGACATTTTTTTCAGTTTTGTGATAGCTACTTTTTTTAGTTTGAAAACTACTTTTTGCTACTATTTTAAATCGAGTGCGAAGACTGTAAAATCTTTAAAATATTTCTATTTGTCTTTTTTTTCATCACTTACTGATAAATCTTCGACTATCTGCAAAAGATCTTCTTCCAAACACGTGTCGTCTTCATTCTGTTAATTAAAGTTTAATTATCTATTTAATTTTTCCTTTTTTCAGAGACAAATAAATTTATTGGTTAAGTTTAATATTTCTGACATATTTCGATTTTAATTAAATTTTTCAGTACGAGAAATAAATTTATTTTACTTTTAGTTTCTTACTTTATGAATTTCACTCTCTGCTTTAGACTTGTTAACGCTCTGAGACATTTTCGCCAATTAGATAATTAAATTTGTTGTCTAACAAAATTCTACCTCTGAATTCACATTAACTGCACATCACTGCACATTAACCAAACAAGGTGAAAAGAAACAGTTAACAACCGAAAAATTACTGTTTGAAGTTAGTCAAACAAAGTGGTGAATAGTGGTGAATTAAAAAACGAAATTAATTTTCAATTCTTTATTTTTAAACATTTTTAAACATTTTTAATTTTTATTCAACAATTTCTTATAATATAAACTTATAAAGTATCATAAAATATGTATTCTTAACAATATTTACAGTTTTTTTTATCAAGTGTATAAAATTGATTATATAATTTCTAGATAACAAATATAATAAAACTTGTTTATAATCCTTTAAACTTTGAGTCGGTCAACAAAATTGAAATCCCAATATTAACGCAATAAAATAATTTATATTTTCTTTGATGGATAAAAAAAATATCGCTCAATCGTAAAATATAGGATTAGAGTGATAAAAAGGCTTAAATTATAATTTTGATTAGAACAAGTGATTTGGAATAATATCTTTATAATCATCAAAAATTATACTGCGATATAAAGTCATTAGATGAAAATATAAAAATTAAATTTTATTTTTGATAGAATCAAAATAATATAAAATTTAACTTTTTAATTCTCTTCTATGTATTCTATAAATAATAATTAATAGTAATAATAATATTTACAATTAACGGATGAATTAATTAATACTACATTCAATTATAAACGGAGCCGCTCGACAATTGAGCCCATTGATCATAATACGTATATATATATGTCTAAGCGCTTTGTGTATTACGACTATTATCAATAATTACGCATCTCTGTCTTCCTGAAGAAAGAGTATCATATAAATGTGACATTGTTTTAATTATTTATTTATCAATAAATTATTTTACTTTAGTTCTCGATATCAGTCTTCTTCATTCCTTTATTGTTATTAGTAACTCTTTTTTTGAGGTATTGCAGTTTATTTGTCGTGAGTAAACAATAAATTAAGCAGAACGAAAACTGTTTTTAAATTCGACAATCTTGGTAACTATTTTATATGAATTTAATTTTTTTGTTCGAATTATCGTATTTCCTTTGGCTTTGCAATTACTTTTCTCAATAAAAAATTATTTACATTCATCAGGGTTGCCACAAATATTTAATTTTATTTTTCCCTGACTTTTCCCTGATTTCCAGAGAAAATTTTCACTTTTTCCCTGACCATAAAGAATATTCTGATTCACTCTAAAAATTATTAGATACTCAAAAAAACATTCTATTACATTTACTTACGAATTTCTTAAATTGTAAAATTATTCGCAAACATCATTAACTAAATTTTTAATTAAGTATTTAAACATTCAAATTCAAAAATTTTTAAAATTAAACAACTTATAAGAATATTATTATAAAACATGAAGATATCAATTACTCCGAGTCGAAGACTCGGAGTGATTGGTATCTTCATGTTTTATAAAAATTTTAATTTCCATAAAATTCTTCAAAAAAAAAAAATTAAATTATTTACAAAAATTATAATAAAATTCGTTGCAAGAATTCAATTATTTTCATAAATAATAAAATTCTTCACATGGTTTCAATTATTTTTAATACAATTTTAGATAAATTTCTCGAAAAATAAAATTATCTTCAAAAATTTTTTGCAAGAATTAAATTACGTACATTTCACAAATAATGAAATTCTTCGCTGAAATTTAAAAATTTTAAAAATTTACATTTTAAATACAAGTTTGCAAAAGAATATAATTATTTAAATAAAATGTAAGAAAATTCGTTGCATAAATTCAATTATTTTTACAAGTAATAACATTTTTCACATGAATTCAATTATTTAAAAAAAATTGATAAAATTCGTTGTAAGAATTCAATTATTTTCATAAATTATAAAATTTTTCTGAGGTTTTCAATTATTTATAATACAATTTAAAGTAAATTCCTAGAAAAATGGAATTATTCTCTTAATTTTTTTGTAAGAATTTAATTACATTTCACGAATATAATTAAATTCTTCGTTGAAATTCAAATATTTTCACAATCTCCTTTTTTTAATAAAAGTTCTTAAAAGAATTTAACTATTTAAAAAAATGTAATAAAATTCGATGCAGGAACTCAATTATTTTCATAAATAATAAGATTCTTTACATTATTTTAATTATTTAAAAAAAAATTTGAAAAAATTCATTGCAAGAATTCAATTACTTTTATAAATTAATAAAATTCTTCACAGCATTTCAATTATTTTTAATACAATTTTAAGTAAATTCTTCGACAAATGTCACTATTTTCAAAAATTTTGTTAAAATCCTTCGAAAGAATTTTATCAACAAATTTGAATTTTTTCAAAAATTTTAATAAAATTTTCAAGAATAATTAAATTTATCGAGAAATTCAATTAAAATTGTATTGAAAATAATTGAAATTCTATGATGAATTTTATTATTCATGAAAATAATTGAATTTTTGTAAAAAATGTTATTATTTATGAAAATAATTGAATTATTGCGAAGTTTGCTTAGAATTTTATCAAAAATTTTTTTTTTAAATAATTGAATTCTTTTGAAAAATTTTATTAAAACTGTAGATATTGAAAATCATTGAATTGAGAAAATTTTTTTGAAAATAATTGAAATTTTGCAAAGAATTTTATTAAAATTTTTGAAAATAATTGAAATTTTGGAGAAGAATTTTATTATTTTTAAAGATAATTGAATTTTGACGAGAATTTTTTTTAAATTTTTGAACATAATTGAATTTTTACGAAGAATTTTATTACTTTTGAAAATAATTGAATTTCTGCAATTATTTATAACTTCTCAAAAATTCAATTTTTTCCAGTTACTTAAATAAAAATCCCTGACTTTTCCCTGACTAATTTTACTTTCCCTGACTTTTCCCTGAATTCCCTGAATTTCCTGACCTGTGGCAACCCTGTTCATGATCAATTTAGAAGGAAAAATATTTTTTCCGAAATTTTTAAACAAAAAACTTTATCGTGAAAAATTTCTCACTTTCAATCGTTGACCATAAACATTGTAAACTTTACAATTTATTAGACAATTATTTTTCAATTAAAATTTTTTTATAAATAAATTAATAAATTAGTTAAATTAAATTTTTAACAATATCAAAGTATTAATATTTTTCCCATAATTATTTAAAAATTGAAGTTCTTTTTAATAAATAAAAAATTGCAAAACCGTAGCTTTAAAGTTACGAAAAACGTATCTGCTTGAAATGCATTCGTAAAAATTTTCTAATTACTTACAATTTGTTAATATAAAATTCTAAATTCATTTAAAATATTCATAAATCACTGGGATTGTATTTTAAGTTTGAATTTCGATAGATGACTTTTTTATGAACATTATTATTTTGTATAAAAATATAATAGAAACTTTGTTGCAGTAAAATCTACCGCAAAATACTATAAGTGAGTTTATAAAAACGAGTCAATGAAATTATTTTGCCTTTTTATGAAAAAAAAAGTGCAAAACATATTTCACAACACATCGACCCGTAGTCAAATGATAAATTATTTTTTTAAATTCTCTAATCTTAAAATTACCTTATATACCCGCAGAAATGCACAAACAGTATAGGAAAAATTTCGCAAATTTCTTCAACGTCAACTTTAGTGTAAAATTATGTTAAAAACTTTAAAAAATATTTTTATGACTCAAATTTCAAAAAACAAAAATATAAAAAAAAAATTGAAAAAAAATTTTTTTAAAAATTAAAATTTGGTAAAAAATTGGAAAATAAAATATAGATTTTCTGAATATCTTATAATTTGGATGAGGGTCCTCCTTCGAGATTGGGAACAGCGGGCCTAATTCCATTTAATTCGTCTTGAATTTCTTGTAGGGATTTTCCCTTGGTTTCGGGTAAAATTAAAACGGCGAAAAGTACGGCTACCACGCAGCACGCGCTGAATATCCAGAAGGCGGTGTGAGTGCCAAAAGCAGATTCGATGTTGCTGAAGAATTTCGTGATAATGAAGGCGAGTCCCCAGCATACGAAGACCGTAATTCCGGATGCTTTTGCCTTGACGTCGGATGCGAACATTTCACCCATCACTGCCCATGGAAGTGGTCCCCAGCCAATACTGTAGAGGGAAATGTAAATCACCAGCGAAACTACTGGTAGCCACGAGATACTCTCCACGTCGTCGTGTTGCACGTCCTTCAGGAAGAAAAACAGACCCAATGCACCCTGAAATCAACAATTTTTATTTTTAGTTTTTTTTCTCCTTGTGAACATAGTTTTTTTTATTGTATAATTTCTTAAATATAGACTTTGGATAGCAAAAAATTCGACAGTCATTTATTTTATTTAGTGTTTTCATAAAAATTTCATTTTGCTTTTCCCTAATTACCAGACAAAATTTTTACTTTTTCTCTGGTCCTAAAAAATATCCCGATTCACTCTAAAAATGATTAGATACTAAAAACAAACTGGAATTAAGATTTTCGAAAATTTCAAATTTAAACCATTTTGAAATTAAACAATTCTTATCAGAAATTCTTCTTTAAATCAATTATTATTTTTAATAATTTTTTAAAAACTTTTTTGAGAATTTTCAAATTCATTATTGTTTACAATTACAATTCAATATTACGAAATTTCGGTTATTCGAAGATTCTTGCAGAATTGTTAGTTAATTTAATTTCTTTAAATGTAAAATTATTTGAAAACATCAATAGTTATTTAAAATAAATATTATTTGTCGATATGAATTAAGATTCTCAAAAATTTCAAATACAAATCTTTTAGAAATTCAACAACTTATAATAATTAAAAATGACCTAGTCATAAAATTATTATTTTATGTTAGTAATAAGAATATTGTTACTGTAACTTCTTAAAAATTATTTTCATCATTTCAATTCAATTATTATTTTCTAGAATTTTATAAGTAAAATTCTTCTTTAAAAAAATTATTTCTAATAATTTTTGAAAAATTTCTTTGATTATTTTTCAAATCCGTTTGTTTATAATTTACTCAATTTAAGGAAATTTCGATTATTCGAAAATTCTTCAATTAAATATTGCAAAAATGCAATTTCAAATAATTTTTAGAAAAAATTCAATTAAACTTTTTCAAAATAATTAATATTTTATTATTATATTAATTATATTAATTATCTATATTTTATTAATTTTTAGTTAAAGCAATGGAAATTTCAGATTTTCAAAGATTTTAAATTGAAACCTTTTCAAAATTCAATTATTTCTAAAAATTCGTGCTATAATGCTTTTAATATTCAATTATAATCTAAAATTTCAACTAAAATTCATTTTTAAATCAATTTTTATTAGAAAATTCTACGAGAATTCAATTATTTAAATACAAAACTAAATAATTTATTAAATAATTGAATGTTTCTCAAAATAGAATTCTCATAAAGAATTTTATTATTTATAAAAATACTTGAATTATTGCGAAGAAATTAAACAAAATAGTGAATTCCTGTCAAATTTTTATTATTAATGAAAATATAGTTAAATATTTGCGTAAAATTATATTAACATTTTCTTCGAATAATTGAATTCTTTTGTAAAATTTAATTAAAATAATTGAAATATTGCCAAGATTTTAATAAAAATTTTTGAAAATAATTGAATTTCGGAGAAGAATTTTATTATTTATAAAGATAATTGAAATTTAGATGCGAATCTTTGAAAATTTTTGAAAAATAACAATAAATTCTAAATTATACTATTGAATTGAAAAAATTCTAAATAATTGAAATTTAATAAATTTTTTTTGAAATTAATTGAATTTTTAGAAAGTATTTAAAAAATTAAATTTTCAAAATAATTTTAACTACAAATATGAAAATACCTAATTTCTCCAAAAATTTTAATGATATATCTAAAAAATTATGATAAAAACTTCTATGAATTAGTTTTTTTAAAAATATTGTGATGTAATTTTTCGAAAATAATTGAATTTATTAAAAGAAATTTTCGACAGTTTAAAAGACGAATTAATTCATTAATTTTCATTTAAAGATTTTTTATTAAAATTTTTGATAATTTAATTATTTTCAGAATTTTCTATTAAAATTCATCGAAATTTGAATTTGCAACAATTTTAATGAAATATTTTTAAAAAATCAATTATTTTCAACAAAATTTCATTTATTTGAAAACTTTTTAATTATATTTTTCAAAAATTGAATTATCTTTCAAAAATTCTATTTATTTATTTATTTATAATTAAATAAATAAATTTTTGAAAATTATTCACACTATAAAAATGGAAATAAATTTTACTAAAAAATTTTGTTCTAAGAATTAGTTTTTTAAAAAATATTTTAATATAATTTTTGAAGCTAATTTTCTTATTTTCATTTTTGAATTTTTAGTTACAGATGTTTTATTAAAATTTTTGAGTTTTAAAAATTTAGATTATCTTGCAATAATTATTCAAAAATTATTTTTGAATTTTACTTTTTTCGGCATTTTGTGACAAGAAAGTTTATTAGAAAATATGTGGAAGTTGAAAAAGTCTTTTTTCTCAAAAAGAAGTCGAAAAAAATCGCCTATTTTGAAAATAATTGAAAAAAGTACAATAATAAATCATTATTATCGCCAAGGCCTACAAATACACTTTTTGGAAAAATCTTCTTCATCAATATTAATTTTTATCTATAAATAAATTTTAAATATAAATAATTTTTAAATTATTCAAATCTAAATAAATTTTCTATAAATAAATATTTACATTTCTTTAAAAAAAAAAAAATCTTTTCATTATAAGTAGTAGTTCTCTTTAAGGTGAAGTAATTGGTATTAATAAATATTATTCAAATTATGTTCCATTAACGAAGTGCTAATATTGCGGATAATTTAAGTCATTTGAAATGAGTCACGTTTTTTACTCGAGCGTATTAAATATTCTTATAACAGGTCGATGTAACAATGATTGACGGAAGTTCTTCTCAAGGATCAAGATCAAAGTTAATGAGCCTTATATACGAATTACAATGTGCGATAACAATTTTATCATCGCATTCTAAACATTCCACAAATGTTACTTCATTCGTCGTGTTTTTTTCCTTTTTCAGTTCAACTATTGTAGAAATTGTAAACATCAAACTTGTGCCAAATATTTTTTAAACTCTTTAAAAGCGCGGAATATTACATTAAAAAACTACATCTAAAAAAATTTTACAATTTCACTGTAAAACTATTTCTGAAAAATAGTCCACCAACATTTTTTCTATTTTTTTTGAAATTATTTCCATGTAAATTATGTACTATTATAGAAATAGATTTATTAAATGTGAAATTAATTTTAGGAAATATAAAAAATAGAAATATATTCTTGTGGAATATTTGTTTCGATTTATTTTCTTGAAAATATTTCCCGCGGTCGATATAATAGAATAGAACAATTTTTATTGAAGAAATTCTTGCAAAAAAAAATAAATATTCTCAAAAATTAGTTCTTTTTATTTTATATAGATATAAGTTTACACATCTGTGTAATATTTCAGTGATACGTAATCGTCAATGGTATTACATAAATCGAGCAGTCATAAAAGTGCGGCTTTAATTAATATGCTTGGGAATCTCGGAAATTCCATTCCAAATAAGTCAAAAGAAATAAAAACAATACCTGAATTGCAGACTAAAGTGCATTTGCACCTATGAAATTTTAATCGTTTCTCTCAATTTCAACCAGAAATTTTGTTCTATATTTAATTTCAACATGAATTACACATTACCAGTCGAATTTTTTTTTTGTATATATGCAAAAATGTTGAAAAGTCGATGAAAATTATTTTAGAATATTTTTTAAGAATTTTTAATGAATAAATAAATAATAAAATATTATTTTTAAAAGTAACAATATTAAATTCATGTAAAATTTATTTTAATGAAATTTAACAACATTTTTAATTGTTTCTATTTTTAAAATTATTTTCAGAAATTCAATTATCAAAAAATAATTAAAAAAATGTTAATTACAGTTTTTCAAAAACCTAATTTTTCTCAAATTTCTACATTGGAATTATTCAAAATTTCAATAATTTTTAAGCAGATATTTAAAAATTTATTCTTATTTAGTTTAATTAAAATTTCAAATAATTTCAAACTGTAATTTTTCCAAAAGTCAAAGATTTTAACAATTTACGAATTATTATTAATAATTTTTTTACATACGCATTTAAAAATAATTTTACTTTTACGGCGATTAGAGTATTAAAAAGATTTCAATTTAAAAAACTTTTAAAATTGAATTATTTCTTCAAATTCCTGTTATAACGCTTGTAATATTCAATTATTTTTCTAAATTTTACCCGAAATCAATTCTTATTAGAATTCAATGATAATTGAATTATTCAAATAATTTTTTGTAAAATTTAATTATTTTCCAAATTTTTAGTTACAACTCTTTAAAAAATAGAATAATATTTAAAAATAAAATTGAGAAAAAAAATTTGTTAGACATAGAAAATTTATTTTAATGAAATTCAAGAGAATTTTTCACTTTTTCAATTTTTTAAAATTATTTTCCGAAATTTAACTATTTTCAAAAACTGTTTGTATTTTGATTTTTTAAAAACCTCATTTTTTCAGAATTTCTAAATAAAATTTTTCATATTCCATTAATTTTTGTTTAATAAATATTTGAATACTTGTTGCTATTTATTTGCTCACCAGGAATTAAAATTTTAAAATACTTTCAATGTGAAACCTTTTGAAATTTAATTATTTCTAAAAATTTGAACTGCAATTGTTGCAATTTTTGAAATATTTTCTGAAATTTGAATTGAAATTCTTTTTCAAATCAATTGTTATTAAAACTAACTCTACTTCTGAATTTTTTTTCAAATTTTTAATATGAGAAAAAAAGTAATAGACTATTTATCATAATAAAAATTTTAAGAGAAAACAAATCATTTTTTTTTAAATACTTCAAAAATAGTAAAAATAGAAATTCAGAGTAGACAATTTTATTCGAATTCAACGATAAATATTTAATTATACAAAAATTTTTGTAAAATTCAATTGTCTTTAAGTTTTTAGTTACAATTCTTCAAAAAATATAATAATACCTAAAAACAATTTTTAAAGTGAGAAAATAAAATTCTTTGAAATATAAAATTTATTTTAATGAAATTTCAGAAAATTTCCTATTTTTCAAATTTTTTAACATTATTTTCGGGAATTCAACTATTTTCAGAAAAATGTTAATTACAATTTTCTAAAAATCGCATTTTTTCAGAAAAAAAACTACATTTTTGTTTAATAAATATTTGAAATGCTTATTGTTATTTATTTGTCGAGAAGGAATTAAAATTTAAAAATACTGTCAATGTAAAACTTTTGAAATTTATTTATTTATTTATTTATTTAATTAATATTTTAGAAATTTAATTATTTCTAAAAATTAGAACTCCAATTCTTTTAATTCTTGAAATATTTTCTAAAATTTGAACTGAAATTCTTTTTCGAATCAATTCTTATCAAAAAGTTGTACTAGAATGAAATTATTTAGAAACAAAAATAAATAAATGATTATTTATAAAACTGCAAGTGTAACTCTGCTTATTTATAGATTTTTTTGAATTTGAGAAAGAAAATTCAAAGACTATTTAAGATTTTCAATAATTTAATATTTTTTGAATAACATTTTCTTTACTTTACTGTCCTGTGAAAATTCTGTTATTGTAAAAATTTTAGGGTAATTAATTTCACTAAACAAAATTAATTGTCAAATTTTTGACCTGACAATTTAAGCTGTAAAACAATTTGAAATTAAAAAGTCCTAACTTTACGTGAGGACAGAATATCTTGATTATTATTATACAATACAATAATAATTGCAATTCCGTTTGAAAAAGTAGAAACTATTTCTTAACATAATTTTTTTTCAGAAATATTTTAACTTCGTTTTTATGATGTGTATTAAGTTATTCTCTCTAATTATCATTTATATTTGCGAATAATTAAAAAAATATTTCCTTGATTCTAATTATAGAATTTATTTTTTAAAAAAGTACCAAATTTGACTAATTAAATTTTTACAGGTAACAGAAAGTTCGTCGGAAATGAAATTAAATTAAATTAAAAAAAATCTCCTCAACGAAATCTATTGAATTTTGAAAATATAATTCTCAGATAAAATATATGAACTGCAACTCCATTGTATTAATTTTATTCAGTGTTTCTGAATTTTGATGTGAATAATAAACGACCTTGCAATATTCAAGGCCTCTTTGAATTTATTATACGAAGCATAATATGAATACAATTACAAGGAATATGACCCTTTAATATACCTCATTCGAATATCGTATTATCGATCACACATTCACACGTATCTAAATATTTGAAATTGAAATAAAATAAAGCACAACTTACCAAGGTGACTGCAGTTCCAACACCGGAAATAACCAGAAGAATTCTTCGTCCCAATCGCTCAATGACGAGCGGTGTCACTGCCGATGCCAACACTTGAACAACTCCAAGGATAATTGTCGAAAGTGATGTGCTCAGGGAAGTGCCGGTACTTTTGAAAATGCCCTCGGCATAAATTAAAACAACATTTATTCCAGTCAGTTGTTGAAAGCTCACCAATGCGCACGTGAATAATAGTGCTTTGAAATTTGCCTTCACTTTAAACAGATCCGCGAGAGTCGTTTGCGTTCTGAATGCAGCGTCTACTGTCGCCTGAGAAATTCAAAATTTATTTTTATTATTATATATTATTAATTTATTATTTTATTCATGTCATACTAGCAACAATTCGCGCGCGACTAACTTCTTACTCACTTTTTAAAAAAATAAAATTATCAATTTTAAAAATAATAGAATGTAAACATTTTTTATTCAAATTTTTTTTCATAAAAATAAAATATGATTTTGAATATATACATAGTTTTAATATTTTTATAACTATAATAATCATATATTCTGACATAGAGGATTCAGGGAAAAGTCAGGAATTTTTATTAAAAGTAACTGAAAAAAATTAAATTTTTAGAATTCATGAGAAAATTCTCAATTTTTGTGTCTTTTTTGTTTGTCTCATAAATTATGAAATTACCACGAATTCTAATACAAAACCTTTAATTTTTTTCATTTCTAACGATAATTTCTTTTTAAATAACTTAATTTTTCAAGAACTATAAAATAAATAATAAACTATAAAATAAACTATAAAATTGTTAATGAATAATTTTACTTAAATATTTCAAAATTAATTTAATTTTAAAAGAGTTGCGTTTACAATATTCATAAATAGATGAATTTCAAAAGGTTTCAAATTCAAAACTTTGAAATTTGAATTTTCCACACTTTTAATAAACAAATCTATAGAATTAAGTTTTTTTTTTAAATTTTTAATTCAATTTAGTTGAAATTAGTTTAACTATATTTAACTATTTTGAAAATTTAATAACGCAATTCTTCGAAAGAATTCAATTATTATACTCACAAATAACAAAATTGTTTCAGAAATTCAATTATTTTTAGAAATTTGATTAAAATTCTTTACAAAATTCAATTATTTTCGTAAATAACAATTTTCTTCACAACAATTTAATTATTATTTTTAAAAGTAATAAAATTCTTAAGTGAAATTCAATTATTTTTAAAAAATTTGAATTAAATTTCTTGGCAAAATTTCAATTATTTGCAAAATTTTTCAAATTCAATATGATTTTCAATATCTACTATTTTCATAAAATTTACCAAAAGAATTTAAATAGTTAAAAAAAACTTTAATAAAATTGATAAATTAATTAATAATTATTAAATAATTAATAAAATTCACATTCAATTATTTTCATAATATAATAAAATTTTCACATGAATTCAATTATTTAAAACACAATTTTCATAAAATTTTCCAAAAAAAAAGTTAATTATTTAAAAAATTTTAATAAAATTCTGTCCAAGAATTCAATTATTTTCATAAATAATAAAATTTTTCACTGGATTTCAATTATTTAAAAAAAAATGTAAGAAAACTCGTCGTACAAATTCAATTATTTTCATAAATAATAAAATTTTTCACTGGATTTCAATTATTAAAAAAAATATAAGAAAACTCGTCGTACAAATTCAATTATTTTCATAAATAATAAAATTTTCACAGGAATTCAATTATTTAAAACACAATTTTCAAAAAATTTTCAAAAAAATCAATTATTTAAAAAATTGTAATAAAATTTTGTACAAAAATTCAATTATTTTCATAAATAATACAATTTTTCACTGATATTTAATTATTTAACAAATTTTAATAAAATTCTGAACAAGAATTCAATTATTTTCATAAATAATACAATTTTTACTGAAATTCAATTATTTCAAAAATTTTTGTCAAGAATTCAATTATTTTTATAAATATTAAAATTCAATTATTTTTATTAATAATAAAAATTTTACAGGAATAGAATTATTTATCAATTTTTTATAAATTTCTTCGCAATAATTCATTATTTTCTTAAATAATCAAAGTTTTTTATTCGAAAAATGTAATTAGTCTTACAAACTATATTAATATTTGTCTAAAGAATTCAATTATACCTTATAATAATCGTAAGTTTCCTTTCCGTTAGCAAATTATCTGCATTCATTTGTTTGTTTTGAAAATTAAATTTTGTGGGTTAAGTATTGGCATTTTTTATATATTTTTTAATGTCAAACTTTTTAATGTGGAAAATACTTTACTTATTAAATTGTCTCGACTCTTTGGTAAATAATCTAAAATTATCAAAAATTCGAAAAATTTCAAAAATCCGATTTTCTTAAAATTTAACATTTTTTCTTCTCTTTTATGCCATTTAGCTTTATTATTATTTGAATTTTTATTCAAGAGAAAAAATGGAAAACTGAAAAAATTTAGAAACTTTTAAAAATTCCAGGCCTTTTCCATGATTTCCCTGATTTCCAGAAGCCTTTTAAAAATTCCATACCATTTCCATGATTTCCATGATTTCCAGATTCTGTAGGAACCCTGCTTTTGTCTGACTTTCTTCTAAATTATCGAATTCAGTGATTTCTGGGGTGAATTTGGTTAAGTTGTAAAATGATTAATTTCTATTTGAATTCGTTTTTTTGAATGTAGAAAGTCTGATGTTAATTTAATTCTTTTTTCGTTATGCCCGGCAAAAAATAATATTCAACTGGATGAACTACAGATTTCACTTTAGTAGCGAAATTTTTCAGTGCTTCAATTAATACTTTCGTTATTCTAGAGAAACTTATCGCTATTTCAAGTAAAACTTTTTTCAGTGTGTAATAATTATTATTTCTTTAAAAAGTATTTAATTTAAAATGGCTTTATAAAATAAGCAATGCAAAAGATGACCCAGATACTAATTGTAATTGTTCTAGCCATAGTTTAAGTCTAGTAATGTAATTGAATATTAAAAGCATTATAGCGTGGATTTTTAGAAATAATTTAATATTTTGAAGAGGTTTTCAAATTAAAATCTTTGAAAATTTGAATTTTTCATACTTTTAATTAACAATTCTGTAGAATTAATTTTTTTAAAAAAAGTTTAATTTCAATTCTTTTGAATTTATTTCAAGCTTTTGCTTTCTAATATTTATCTAATTGAAGAATTTACGAATAATCCATGAAAGGTAATAAAATATTGAATTGTAAACAAATGGATTTGAAAATTCTCAAAGAACTTTTTCAAAAATTATTTAAAACAATTGATAGAATTTTTGCTAAAAATTTTAGAAAATAATAATTGAATTGAAATGATGAAAATAATTTTGAAGAAGTTGAAATAAAAAAAAATATTGAATATTATGAAAATATTGAAAATTTTGAATTTGAATTTGAAAATCTTAATTCTTATGCAAAAATAATTAATTAAATATTTATTCAAAAAAAAGTTATTGATGTTTTCGAATAATTTTACAATTAAAGAAATTCGTAAACAAATGTAACAGAATTAATAATTAATTATTTTGAGTAAAATTTTTTCCTTTATTTTCTAAAAACTCAAAAATTCTCAATTTCATTTTCAATTGAAATTTGTAATTGACAAATAGAATTTACAAACATTTTTTCCCCTTATTTTTAAAAAAATTTGAATTTTATTAAAACAATTGTAATTAAGAAATAGAAATGATGCAAATTATTCCCTTATGGAAATTGAGAATTTTCTACAAAAATATTAAGAAACGGGAATATGTAATGTTTCTTTTCTATAAAAGAAAAGAATCAGTTTGTGAACAATATTGTTAATTTGAGAAATAAAAATTATGTATAAAATGGGTATATTTCCTATTTCTTAATCATAATTTTTTAAAAATTAACAATTTTCTATTTTTTATAAATAAGAAGGAGAAAAATTTGCATTATTTAAATCAGACAAACGAAATTTGTTTCAGAAAAAAGAACAAAATGGATATATTTTTATTTGTTAATCATAATTTTTGTAAATTTTTTTAATTTTTTAATTTCAAATATTATTTTATTATAAATCATGAAAAAATACTTGTATTTGTAGAACAATTTTTTTTAAAGAAGAAAAATTACAAAATCATACACAAAAACTAACGTCAAAGTGTGGACAGACAGAAAAAAATGAATGAATGAATACAAAGATTATTATATAGTTAATTTCCAACCAGTCTTTTCTGGTAAACATATTTGATGTAAAAAATTTTGTTGAAAAAAAGTAGAATTTTTATTTTTTTCATTGATTTTTATTATTATTATTATTATCATAATTTCCGTGGATAAGAATCAAGAAAATTGGATTATTTTTAAAAAATTTTCTACGTCATCGATTAGAATGACGCACATGATATTGGTTCGTTAGCCTTTGAGAAGCCAAGAATCTTGTGACCTTCCGCATAGTATGACTGAATGTGATAGGCATAATAAATATAATAAAGAGTAGTAAAATCGTCATAGTATATACTAACCTGCATCTCGTCGGCTTCCTTCTGTACACTCGTTGTACTTTTTCCTCGTAATCTCGCCAGAGCTTTGATTGCATCCTCTTTTTGTCCTTTCCCCAAAAGGAAATAGGGCGATTCTGGCATAAACAAAAAAGAAATGAAGAAGATTATTGGCAATGAACCGCACGCTATCCAAAGAACCATGTACGACACGTACGGTCCGATTGCGTATGAGAATAGTAAACCAATGGTTATGAACAATTGCAGAAACGATCCTAATGAACCTCTAATTGACGTCTGGAAAAAAGAAAATGATTTTTGAAATAAGACTTTTATTTTATGCACTAAATAAAAATAATAAATATAATTCAAAGGAAGGGAATTTATCATTCGGTATTTAATATTAAAGGTGGTTTTTTCTGAGTTCTTTGATAATTTTGAAATTATTAATTAATTTCGAAAAATATTTTTCAGAAAAAGCAGGTTTCTGTATTAGGTCAACTGTGCTGTCGATACATGAAATTTAAAGAAGCTTTAAGTGAGAAATGATTCGGAGAGATTGTTAACTGCTTCCACCTTTAATAATAAATGTAATTTAATATTTATTTGGAATTTGATTAAAATAACGAAATAATAATTTAATAGTTAGACGAATAGAATTTTAAAATTAGTTAATTTTGTTTAATATTTTGTTGAAGAGACAACATTTTTTTTTTGTAAATTAATGTGAAAACTAGGAAGGGGTTTGAGACTTACTTCAGCAATTTCACCGATGTACATAGGAAGAATCGTGAACGGAACTGCGAGAGCAAAACCGAAAATTAACCTAGCTACATAAAGTTGATATATACTTCTTGCACTTGCTACCAATATCCAACCAATTAAAAACGGTACCGTGCTGAACAAGAGACCTTTCTTTCGACCAATTCTACAAAAATAGTAAATTGTTTGTTTTATTAATATGTGTATTTATTATTAATGTATCAGATGTTCAAAAAGAATGGAAGCGCTATAGTTTTTCTGTACGAAATCCAATTAATCTCGCTTTTTGGCAAAATTACAGTTTTTGCTCTAGAATAAAAACTACTTGTCTGATTGTCTTTAAATTTGGTATGGACATGCATTTTTTAACGTAGAATCTAAAAAAAATATTTAAAATACGATTGGAATTAATTAAAACGTATTATTCCCCGAAAAATGAAAAATTTCGAAAAAAGTGGTCACCAAATTTAAATTTTTCCATTTTAGACTCCGTCAATTGGGAAGTATGGTTTCTGGTGTATTTTTACGAGCCAATTTTGAGAAAATTATACAGGATTGCCACAAAAATTTAATTTTGTTTTTTTCTGACTTTTTTCTGATTTACAAACTAAATTTTGACTAAATTTTGACAAGAATATTATAAAATTAATAATAATTAAAGATGACCGAGTGATAAAATCATTATTTTAAATAATCAGAACATTGTTACTACAACTTCTTTAAAATTATTTTCATCATTTCAATTCAATTGTTATTTTCTACAATTTTAAAATAAAATTAATTTTTAAATCAATTATTTTCAATCATTTTTTGATAAAGTTTTTTTTGAAAATTTACAAATTCATTTCTCTACAATTTAATTTCACGAAATTTCGATTATTCGAAAGTTCATCAATTAAATATATATACATTAGAAAATAAAAACTTGAAATAATTTTCAAAAAATTTCGATTAAGCTTTTTGAAAAAAAATTAGTTGTATAGAATTTTTAATTAAAATTGTGCGAAAAATTCAGATTTTCAAAGGTTTTAATTTGAAACCTTCACAAAATTCAATTATTTCTAAAAATTGCAATTATTAGTAACTCCCCAAAAATTCAATTATTATCTAAAACTTTAACTAAAATTAGTTTTTAAATCAATTTTTATTAGAAAATTCTACGAGAATTCAATTATTTAAATACAAACATAGATAATTTATTGATTAATTGAATGATTCTTAAAATTGAATTCTTATACAAAATTTAAATTTTTAAATAATTGAAATATAGAATTTTTTCGACGAATTTTAATAACATTTTCAAGAATAATTACATTTTTAGAGCAATTCCTGTAAAATTGTATTAAAAATAATTGAGCTGCAATAAATTTTATTATTTATGTGAATAATTGAATTATTGCGAAGAATTTTTTTAAAAAAAGTTTCAAACAATTGGTTTTTTTTCGAAAAAATTTATGCAAATTCTATTTTTAATAATTATTGAATTTCTGTGAAATCTTCATTATTTTAGAAAATAATTGAATATTCGTGTAGAATTTTGTCAAAATTATTTTCAAATAATTAAATTCTTTTGGGAAATTTTATTAAAATAATCGATATATTATTAAAGTAAGAACAATTTTTGAAAATAATTGAAATTTTTCAACGAATTTTATTAAAATTTTTGAAAATAATTGAATTTTGAAAAGTGTTCGATTTTTTTAAACTTTACAAACATTTTGAGATACTTAATATTTTTCATACTTTTCGAACATCTTGTATATTTATTTATACGACTGTAGAAAATTAAATAGGTAATATTTTTTGTGCACGTGAGTAAAAAATGAAAAAATGTATTTACTTTTCTACTAAAATTCCTGCCGCAAAGCAGCCGAAAATTGCTCCCATCGGTACCAGTGACCCAATCCAGGAAGCTTCTTCCTTTGACACTGGGTAATTTAAAGGGTTATCGGGATTCAAGGGGTTGTCTTCCTGTAATCGTGGAAGGATTGGACTTGTCCATCCCAGCATAGCTCCTGTGGCGACAATACATAGGTTACCTGGAACAGAAACATTCATTCGAGAACATTAGAAAACTCATTTAACAAGTTTCATTTAATCTATTGAAAGAATTTTTTTATTACGAAATAAAACGATTGCGAAATTTTTGTTTGTTTTATGTGAAATATCATAGAACAAATTACGGTACGAATTCTATTATAAATAGACTATGTCACGAATCTAACTTGTACTGTGATAGTTTGGACTTTTTTGGTGTTAGTTTGGCACAATTTATTCACAGATTGCGCACATGTCTTAAGATAAATGTTAAATATTGATATAAAAAACTGTTAATGTATTAATTAGACTCATTTTTGTATTTAATTGTAGACAAAATTTCAGTCTGCATTATTTAGTTTTATTTGTAAAGGGCTTTTTATGCCCGTCTGTACATTTAAATAAATAAATAAATAAATAAATAAATTACAGAAGTACAAAAATACAAACTTTCAATATATTTTATAGTTTATAACTAGCATTAGATCAGAGTCAGTTATTGAAAGAATACAATTGATTCATTAATTATAACTATACAATTTATATTCTTGTTTATTTTCATTATTAAATTTAAAAAAATAATTAAAGAAAAAATTAGTTAACTGTACCAAAGCATTTATTAAACTTTTAGTATTTTTAATCTTTATGAATAAAATCAGACTTATGTCAGTACAAATATAGCATAACAAACATTATGATTATTAAATAGAAATTAAGTCAATTTTTTTTTATTTATTTCTTAAAAAAATCAGAATTTTCTTCAAAATTTTGATTGAAAAATAAGAAATTATGCAACATTTTTCACATTTTTTAAAACAAAATTTAACAATTTGTTGACTCATTTTCAAATTTTTTTTAGCTAAATAAATAAAAAAAAATGTATAATTTCGATTTGTTAGACAAAATTTATATTTTTTTTATAGAAAAAATGAAAAAAATTTGCATCATCATGATTTATTAAGTATTATTTTTACATTATATTACAAGATTATATTTTTAAGAAAAAAATTTGTAGAATTTCTTTTTCTCAATGATAATTTTTTAACAATATTTAAAGTTTTAATTTATTAAAAATAAAGAAAAAAGTTTGCTGATTTTCTACTTTATAAATGTTTCAAATTTGTATCTCATTTCAAAATTTGACGCAACAAAGCAAACAAAAATAAATAAAATCAATAATTGTTCTAAATTAAGAAACAATTTTTAGAATTTTTAAAAAATAAATAATAAAATACAACAGAAGATAAGTGCACATTCTAGGTCAATTATTAAGAAAAAATACGAAATAATTATTTCTTGTCAATTATTAATACTTATTAAAAAAATTAATATTGAAATTTTGATAAATTATTGTGATAAAGAAAATAATATAAATTATGCAAGAAAAATGCTACAAATTTTGTAAAAACAATGTGATTGACAAATTGAAAGTATGAAAATTATTGTTTCCCATTATTTTATTAAATTCTTATAACATTTTACTTTCAATTAAAAATTACAAATTATACAAATTTTTAAACTCTTTTTAAAAAAATACTTGAGATTTTGTTAAAAATGATGACGAAAATATAGAAAGTATGCGAATTTTTTTTATTTATTATATGAAATACTCTCGGAAATACTTAAAAAAAATGAAAGTTTTGTTAAAAAATTGTGATAGATTATTTTTCTTCTTTTTTTAAAAAAAAAAAAAGAAAAGGAAATTATGAAATAGAAATTATTCCAATTTTTTTCATTACTTTCCAAGAAATATTATAATTTTGTTAAAAATTGTGATTATAGAAAACAGAAATTATACACATTTTTTTTCGAAAGAAACTAAAAATTTGTTAATAACAAAAAAATACTGAGATTTTGATAGAAAATTGTGGTGAAGAATATGAAATTATGTAATTTTTTTTTTTTATTACTAAAAAACTGGAAGATTTGTTAAAAAATAATAATTGTAATTGAGAAATATAAATGGACCAAATTTATTTCTTTTTTCTTCTCTTTCAAAAAGAAAAATAGGATTTTGTATAAAAATTATAATTTTGAAATTGGATTTAAATTAAACACAATATTGAAAGACTCTATAACTTCAAACTGTGGTGAGAAAGAATGAATGAATGAACAAATGAATGACTGACAGAATTAGCAGATTATTATAATTAATAATTAGTAAAATTTTAATGAAGCAAATATCAATTAAAAACTTAATGTTCTAAATCGATTTTTAGAAAAAAAACAAACAAACAAAAATAATTGATATACTATTAAAAAGTATGATGTTTATTTTGAGTATTAAAAAAAATAACAATAAAAAAAGCAGATTACCATATATATATAGATGTTTTGGCAAATATGTGGAAATGATCAATTTTGAAAGGTAATTTTAGTTGGTATATATTTGAAGTCAATTCGAAATGAAAATTAACTTTGGTACTACGGAATATCGCGCGTCTACATTGAAATCGACGTTTCTGAGATCAATACAAGCGAAGATATTATATAACTATCAGCTCTCTATTTCAAAAGGTATTCATTTTTATCGTTACAAAATTTGTTTTACACATTTATAATTTAAATATTTTTTTATTTTTTATAAAAAATAATAAAAAGTAGGTATTAATTATATTTTTTAAAAACCTGTTCCTTTCTTAGAGAATAAATTCTGTATTTGAAAAGAATATTCTTCTTTGTAGCAAACAATAACAATTTTCTTCTTCGAGAATATGAATAGAGTACTTCTAACTTGGAAAAAATCATTACATTTAAAAATATTTTTTCTCATTCACTATTTTATTATTAGATCTCAGAAAAAATCCACGAAATTAGGTCAATACTTTTTGTTATTTCTTTTCAATAAAAACTTGAAATAAAATCGAGAAATTTTTTAAACTAAAAAATTTTATTTCAATCCCCAAAGAATTTATTTTCATTGCGTAAAAATAAACAAAGTGCTTTATTCAAACCTTTTTTTAATTTTTCTTTGGTGGTATAGAAATATTTTTGATAAACAACGTTTTTTCATTAATTTACAAAAAAAGTTCTTCTTTTTGCTGAATTAGACCATTTTCATTTGATTCAAATATTAAATTAAAAAAAATTGTGTGAAAGCAGAACAAAGATATGAAATAATGTACGATTGCAGACTAAATTAAAAAATGAAGATGACCTCAATGATTGTTTAAGAGAGTAATTCTAAAACAAAGATAGAATTTATGTTTAGCATATTTTATATGAACCAGAACAAAATCTTGATATCAATTTATAAATCGAAGGAATAAGGAAAGTAAAACTTTCTTTCATGGAAAAGTCTAAATAATTACTCGCACTCAACGTACATATATATATATATATATAAGAATTGAACCTGTTTTAAATATTTGCAACATTCTTCAATAATTGATATTGCAAGAATAACCAGTTTGAAATCTACTTGTTTCATTCTGAAAATCATTATTTTTTTCTAGCTTATCAACTTTTTGTTATTTTTTCAACTTTTTTTCAACTTGTACTGAAAAGAATATAGAACACATTATATTAATATTTATTAAAAATTCAAATTTTTATCATGCAATAATTTTTATTTATCTTTTTTTATTCTCGAGACAGTATAAATACCTCCGCGTATATATATTTTTTCTTTGATATCCATTTCTTAGTTTCCTGTTCCTTATTGTTTTTTTCGAAAAGATTACAATTTTTACTGAGATACTTTGCTTAAGAAGCTATAGAGAAAAAAAGAAATATCGGAAAAAGGATTATATACACTTCCTGATTTATATTTTTATTATTTTTCCATCGCAACGAGTATATAAAGGAAAAATACATTGTTTTTATTGCATTTTTTTTTTTTGGTTGATATTACTATTATTATATATTTAATTATTATACTCGTCAAAGAAAAGTAATGGATTTATGTAGTTCGAGGAGAGATGCACAAAGTGATTTATTTAGAAATATTAAAATTTACATTAAGTTTCTAGACCGTAACGTAATTTTCCATCTTGTCAATTTTAATATATAAAGAAAAACCATTACCGTTATTGAGTTTCTTCTTTTCATTTGTTGTTCAATATCATAAAAGTTGTAATTATATTTATTACAGGCCTCGAATTGACATTAAGACAGAAAAACTGGCGTTTTAGTAGATTCGAAGTGCGAAAAAAGTCGGAAAAGTAATTTCTTTTATTCTTCATCAAAAATTTTAATTATTAAATCCTTGAATTTTCTTTGATTTACAGAAAAATTATTAACTTTTTACCCTAGGCCATTATTAATTACTTCAATTTTAAGTTTTAATAAAATTCAATTATTCTCAAGTATACGTTACTCTTATATTTTTTATATTTTACTTTAAAAAAGACGATTACTTTTTAAAAATGTAATAAAATTTCTTAAAACATAAAATTTATATTAACAATCAAAATTTAGTTATTTCTTAAAATTACAACTGTTTCTTCCAAAATTCAATTATTTTCAGGAAATTTTAACTAAATTTACTCAAAAGTTCAATAATTTTTTAAAATACTAAATAGAATTTAAATATTATTATTAAATTATTATCAATTGGAATTTTCAAAAAATTTTAATCTGAAATCGTTTCCATTCATCAATTTATTTATCTTTGAAATTTAATTATTTTTAAAAATTTGAACTGCAACTTTTATAAAATTCTATTATTTTCTATTATTTTGAACTGAAGTTCTTCTTTATTTCAATAAATTTTATTAATTTTGAGAATGTTCTTTAAGAGTTTAATTGATATAGTTGGTCACTTTTTCTAAAAAATATTTTCTAATCCTTTTTGTCTAAAAAAGCGATTTCTAATGAAATCTGTTTTCTAAAAAAAGTTTTTCTAACAAGTTTTGATTTCTAAAAAAAGTTTTTCTAAAAAGTTATAATTTCTAATATTTATTTTCCTAAAATTCGTAAAATTCCATAATTTTGATAAAAGTTAGAAAATTTAAAAAAAACAAAGATTAAGAAATAGAAACTATTTTGCATATTTTCTGCT